AATTCTATTTATTAAGGAGCACTGAATTATGAACTCCTACTTAACCTGCTCAACTACCTATCTACCTACCTGTCTGCCTATCTACCTACCTACCTACCTACCTACCTACCTACCTACCTACCTGCCTGCCTAACTGTATAATAACATTTTGCCAGTGCATGCATTGGAAAAATGTTATGCATGCAAATGGAATTGTTTTAGTTTCATTGACGTCTCAGTCAATTTCAATCATTTCAGCGCCTGAGCGGCGACATTCAAGCTTTCCTAAGCATCTGAATATTTTTAACTATGACATTTACTGATAATTACACACGCGCACACGTATATAATGATAATATAAATGTTATTGCATTTCATCACGTAAATTACAATTCTATCAAAATATTTGAAAAAATCATTTAAATTAAAAATAAGAAATTGAAATAAATTATATTATAAATAAGTATAAAGTAAGAGGACAGATGAACAACCACGCATTTCAAATAAAAATTTCAACTCCAAATAAACATCTGATATTTTTAACGTGTTTCAATTAGTTGTAAAAAAAATTTGGAGCCAATTATTTTTAACACTTTGTTTAAATTTAATTGGTTGCTTGGTGAGCTGCTCTCAATCCAAACGTAGCAAGACATTGACTAAGACGTTGCCAGAACTAATTCTTTTCTGATTTTTTCATCTTATTTCATACTTTTGTTCTAAAAATAAATATTACGACATTTTTTTTAGTACAAATGTCATTTTAAACATTTTATGGTGAGTTGTTTACAGACCATCGTAGGATGGTTCATTCAGTCGTTCAGTCTATGGGAAGTAGTTTACTAAATTTATACGCTACGCCGTCTGATCTGCGGGATGTCAATCATTCAATTTAGATATAGATTTATTTGTATATACAAAGCACACACGCGCACACATACATGTGTATCCTTGGGTTGGTGTGCATTTGAATCGTATTAATTACTATTGAAAATTGTGTGAGACCTTTTATTACTAAGCGAATTTGCCGACAAGATTAATTTTTTGCGAGACATGCCCCACATATTGCAGCTATCAGCGGTACAGAAAGTCATTTTCAAATGCCGTTGTCAAGTGTTAAATTAGTAGGACCGTTCATCTAATTACATATCCCATACATTCAGCTGACTATTCATGTGCTTTAATTTTTTGTAATTGCAATTAAAGCTGTTCTCGTTATAAGTATGCGTGCACCACGTAAACTGATAATAAACGTGAGAGTGGGTGGCTTGGAGCGTTGTTAATTATTTTGCGAGAACGTTCACTAATGTGATGGAGTAATTGAAAGGTTTCAAATTGCTGTTTCAACATGCTTGGAACGTTGCTAAAATAATTTAAAAACTAAATCATCAAACCAGAGCCAATAACACCAAAAGGAAGAGTTAATTACCGTTAACGGTAACCTAGCTGGTTTTTTACAACTCCGAAGCAAAAATAAAACAAAAGTGCTGCGAAATGGATCAGTTTGTTTCAAAAATAAACCAACGCAATGCTGAAAATTTATATCGACAGTAATGTGCCAATAAATCGAGCATGGAGAACATTTGTTATGTTATTTGCTAAGCAGCTGATCTATTTAACACTGAAGCACATCTGAAAAGCATCAAAAATTATAAACAGACTGACATAAGTAAATAAACTTAATAATATAAAGCAGCGCATATCTCAGATTGTATGCTTTACATGGATAGGTTTTTGTATTTTTATCCGCGTGCGATTGCGTGTTGGTGGGTTTTGAAACGAATGTTCACTTTGCAAGTAGGCATCACCGACGAATATTGACCACCTTACGACCAAGTGCATGATGCATTGTTCCATTTCGAATTTTAGAGCATTTCAAGCATTCTAACTGTTCATTCATTTCGTATCAATTTTCTAGAAAAAAAAATCTATTGATCGGTAATAATGATGAACTCGATGTAATGAGTGAGATTGGTCGTGAATGCATTGTAGTAATAACTTTTGATAATAATGATGTGATGATGAAATGATGGTGGTGCTTGATGATGATGATGGTGGTATTTGGTGATGATAAGATGACGACGACTACGATGATGATGATGATGATGATGAGGGTGGTGATGATGATGATGGTGGTGATGATGATGATGGTGGTGATGATGATGGTGGTAATAAATTTAACCAATCACAATTAATGATCAAAGAAATTATCTTCGTAGCAAAAACAAACAGCTTTCTGAATATATGGTGACAGTGTTGAAAATGTTGCAGATAGTGGTTATAAAATCGACGTTTAGTTTGTAAACATTAAAACGAACGCTGCCTTGATGACCTCAGCATCCACTCAGCATCCACTTCGCTGCAATCTTATCGCAATGTTTCTTTGTGTTTGTTCGTTATCATGTCATCGCGTTCTTTCTTCACTGGTTTTATGATTAATATTGACAGTATCAATCTATTTTATTACCTACCCCATCTCCGCTATATCGGCATCTCTTTCCTCAACGCCAACATTATCATTTCATTTACCAGGGTTCTCATTGTTTTGTTATCACCATCAAATCTACAACAATCAATTAAAAGACGCCAACATCCAGTTAACTTCGTAACTAACATACAACAAACGTTTCTCTAACTCACTCGACTAAACTGCACTCTGGCGAATTAGAAGAAATGATCTCATCTGACAACTTACAATTCAGTCAGTTACACAGTGTGATCTAGTGATTAATAATCGTTTATAACTGTTTATGTCGCGTTAAGCGCAAACAAAACGTTTGCAATTGTGAGCGGTTGGAGCACATTGAAACATTCAACGCGAACTAGCACACCAAATTTACACAATATATAAAAATATAACATACCGATTTATACTGACAAAATGTTCGCCGACCAAAATGTTTCTGTTTGAAGTAATTTATAAGTCTTGATACTTTTTAATTTTTTTCAAGTTTTAATTCAGTGCAACTTTTTTTTACATAAGACGAAAAAATTGATAAAATTAAATAAAAATTAAATACAATCGCCGCTCGTAGCATCATTCACCTTATTTTGAGTTGGAGATCTAATATACTTAAATACAAAGATGCTTAGATACATAGATACTTAGATACAAAAATACTTAGATACATAGATACTTAGATACTTAGATACAAAGATACTTAGATACAAAGATGAGTCAGTTTTTTCTTGTGTCGCTTTTGTTCATTCTAAACGTTGTGCTTAAAACTTCAAATTTTGGGTCTCTGTGTTAATTTTCCTCTTTTCTAACCATGGTTTTGAAATTAGTTTTGATACAAACATTCCATTTAATAAAAAATCACCGCCCGTTAAAACATGTTTGTTTATTTTTATTCACTTAAATTCTATTGAGCAAATAGGTCAGTGCTGAATGTGGTATTAAATATTAACAAAGATTAAAAATAATAATTTGAATGTAGATTCCAATAAATACAAAATCACTTGTCGTTTACACTAGTGATAACAACTATATTTATATCATTATGTGAGAACATCATGATTCAACTGAACTGCTATATAAACTATTCGTATAATAATCTAGTAATAAAATCGTATTTTATTTTATATGCAGTCTAAAATATAGCTTTGTTATAAAGTACCGAATTTAAATACAGAATGTCTGTAATATATATATATATATATATATATATATATAAATTTAAATACAGAGTGTCTGTAATATATATATATATATATATATATATATATATATATATATATATATTTAAATACAGAGTGTCTGTAATATATATATATATATATATATATATATATATATATATGTGTGTGTGTGTGTGTGTGTGTGTGTGTGTGTGTGTGTGTGTGTGTGTGTGTGTGTGTGTAGGAAGAAGTTACAACATGCATTCAAAGAACGGACTACACAACCATGATAGCGAGGTTCATGTGAAACCCCGTGAATTCATTTACAAATTTTGGTTCTGGTAGACAACTGATGAATCACAGAACATTCAAACAGATTTGACTGACAACATTAAAAATTTATGTACAAACATACTCACATACTCTTATAAAATTAAACTGACAACATATTATGAAGCCACAATAATTTCCAACGCCCCTGTCACGCGATACATTGCGTAATATCTTGAAACATTTAATCTGAAATGACAATTAAAAGTATTATAATACGCGTGGTTAAGTGTGGTCAACAGATTTTAAACTACCAGTTGGAAGAAGAAAAACATTAACTTCTTCCACGTTTGGTCACTTGAAACTCAAATTTCAAAGTCTTGTTCTATTCATATAACGAGGTAAATCAGGGTTGACGGTTTAAAATAAGGTAGAATCGTAAAAATATTCACCTATCACTTAATTTAAAAACAAAGTTGATTATGTAAATCTGGCGCTAGAACTAAGCAAGAAAACACAAAAATGCATTCTTTTACGCAAAAAAAAAAAAATTATGCGTTCTGATTATTATATCAAGCAAATGAACACAAAACTGAAATAGAAGATGGTCAACAAACTTACCTACACTTCGCTGAAAATTACGAACGTGTTAAATGAATTTTAAGATTTTTTAAATTGTACAAATTCTTGCATCATGTGAAACAACAAAGTAGAGAGAGGCGAAAACGTTGGAAACTGGACAATATAGGAACAAACATCATACATTAAGAAATAAAATAGCGTTGAAAAATAGAATGCACAGAATGTTAACATTTGAATCATGATCAAGTCAGTTTGCTCGTTTGATTGAGAATGCATACACTGAGTGCTAAATGAAATAAAAAATATAATTGATTCAATTAATACAATGAAAATATGAGCGAGCTTACCTAACTACTTACTCTAATATAAAGTCGTTAAAATATGGCAACGAATGATGTATGATAGTTTTCCTTGAAAAAATAGACGTTTGCGACAATTTTCCCGATTTTGATTAAAACCCAATTAATTCTAGCATATTTAAAGTAATAAAAAAATAAAACAATAATCTAATGATCCTATGAATGGGTGAATGTATATAATGCTGTAACGTACTACATTGTCCCAAAACCCTTCAAAGATTTCCGCTCCTTATAAAATGAATACGAGTTGAGTACAACTAGCAATGAACCGAGTCCCATGTTGAGACCGAGTAGAATCATTCCCTCAGTGAAGTAGGAGGGCATAATGTATATGCCTATCTCAATCGTGCTATTTTTGTAGTTGGAGAGATCGGTCGCTGGTGATGATGTCGTTGTTGTATAAGTTGTGGCTGATGTTGTTGTGGATGCTATTATTTCTCTTGAATTCCCCTCTTGCAACAACGAAGATTGTCGCGGTACCGTATGATTTTCACCACTTTGCTGGTACAAGACTGAGCAGGTATACAAACCAGAGTCGTTAACTTGAGATCTCGCAGTCATAACCAAGCAATTGGTCGTTTTGTTGTGGTAGTAGTTGCGGCTGCTGTCACCACCGACAACCTGATTGTCAGGATTGAACCACATGAGGTTTGAAATATTCATTGTAGTGTCCAGATTTGGACATGAGAACTCCATTTCTGTACCCATTTCAATTTTTTTAATTAAGTCTGGTTGGATTGTTGAGTGTGCTAGCAACACCAAAATGGTGCAGTACCGTAAAAACATTTTAAAGTATTTGAAATAAAAGTACAAACTGGTTCAAAAAAATATGCCCTTTCTAGATAACTTTCAAACGAGGTCAGCAGGTCAAACAATCCAATGTCCTATTCAATTTTAACAAATTAATTAATGATATCTCCAATTTAAAGTCATTTGATTTAAATAAACGGACTAATTTTAAAATCAAATTCAATCTCACGTTTCATCCAAGCCATTCATTTCGTTAGTATTTTAGAATGTAATTAATTCGCTCGACCACTCATTTAATAAAAGTCATTAACAAAACTTGATTGATAGACAATTAACTTAACAATTAAATTTAATTACCTATTTGAATAGGGCTACGACAGAGTAATAATAACAACTAAACAACCAGACTATTTCATAAAAACTTCTACAGTCTACATAGCACTCACATACACACGCCACTGAGAATAACTAAACTACTATTATTACTTAAGTAAATACGATTCATCTCATGAATATTCATGTATTCATACTTAAGCCTTTGTGTGTATAATCTGCGTTACACATATACATATATATATATATATATATATATATATATATATAATATATATATATATATATATATATATATATAAAACACCCATCAAAGCAACAACTGAATTAACACCATGGATATAACATAAAATCAACTGATCGTTTGTTTGAAAAATAGATATTATTAAAATAACAAAGAAACCGTGTAAATGTAATTATTTATTTCCTGTTTGATGTTAAACATTTTTTCTCAATATTATATTTATATCTTATGTTTGAGAGAGAGAAAGAGAGAGAGAGGGAAAAAGAGAAAGGGAGAGAGGGAAAGAGAGAAAGAATAATTCATTGAAATCGTATGACGCGATTATGATGATGTGATAAAATTAATGACAGGATGGTGATGCTGATGATGAGGACGATGATGACAATGATGATTATGACTTTCTTGGAAGATGATGAGAACAAGATGATTGAGCAATAAGAATGATATAATAGGACAATGCCGACAAATCGTGTTAATAAATTAACAATACAAAGTTTATAAAACAAAATTTAATTTTTTCTTAAAATTTTTTTTATTTTTTACAACGTGATTAATTCATCCAAAGCAAGATGCCTTCAAAGTGCGATTAAAAAGTACGATTACAAGTTACAAAACAAAGTGACGAGCACAACAGCAAATAAGAAAAAAAGGTCAAATCATGAAATACACGTCTCAAGCAATACACATACACATATTTTAAATAAGTAAAATTGTATATTTTATTTTTGTGCATGTTTTAAACCTTAACAATGTTTGATTTGTATGTCAAAGAAAAAAGTCAATACATAAACAGAAATACGTAGCTACAAAAATACGGACGTATAAAACATACAACCAAAATGTTTAACGTTCTCTCCAATAATACATTTTTTATCCCAAACAAACAAATAAAAAAGGGTTTTAAAAATACTAAGCGTCTCTAAGGTTCTTCTATAAAAGGTCATGTACAAAAAAATGAATACTCAAGACGCATTTTTACACTAAATAAAAAAACATAAGCTAGCAAATCGTCAGTCACATGACATGAAAGCAATTGCTTGGAAACATGTGAGACACAAGTAGAACAATGAACATTGAACATATTGATAAGTAGGCACAACGTAAAGTTCAATAATATATATATTATATATTTATTTATTTAAATATATGTATAAATATATATATATATATATATATATATATATATATATTGAATTAAGACTGTCAGAATTGCAATTATTGATGAAAATCACAGCATGTTCGGAGTTATATATAAATAAATAAATAAATATATATATATATATATATATATATAATATATACAAAGTAGTTTACTTTATCTGTAGCTGTTTCAAAATGATCTTATGTGTTTGTTTACATAAACTTTTACTTGTAAACATAGCACATGTGCGTAAGTGTACGTGTGTTTGCTTGTTTGTGTGTGTGTATGCATGTGTTTATGTCTGATTCTGATTATATCTCTTTGTACGTCTTCATCGTGTGTCAAGTATAAAACGTTATACGATACTTAAAGATGAAATCACACCCTTCAAAAATGTTCATATTTATTTTGAGATTAAAATTTCAATCGAACTTCATCGAATTGTCATGCACGTTATCGTGAAGTGCCGATAAATTTTTTCCTAATTCTATCGATAAAAATTAAAATTAGGTTTTTGAGTATTCGTGTTTGTTGTATGTGTGCGTCTGTGTGTGTGTGTGCATGTGTGTGTGTGCGCGCGCGCACGTGTGTGTGTTCGTGTTGTTTATATATTTTCAAACATTACGATTGTAAAAAAAAGAACAGTGAATGACGCGGCGTTCCCAGCTTCATAAGAGGTATTTACTTTCAACATTTTTTGTTTTATTGTGTATGAAACGGGAACCCTCATCATAAAGATCTCATAGTATTTCATCTGAATACCTCCCGATGTCCTATTTATTTATCTTAATCTTCATCCATTGCAAAAACAAGTACTTTCAGTTTATTCAACGGTGTTATCTAAGAAGAATCCTTTTATAAGTATTTTAAACACCATTAAAAGAATTTTTTAATTATACTGTTAGTGGCAAGCACAAAAGCGTAACTTTCACGTTGCATTACCAATTCCGTTAAACACTCTTACGCTAAAAATGCTTTTGATGTTTATGACTCATTTTTCTGAAACTCTCTTTCTTCTCCGTCACTTATGAAGTAACGGTCCTCAAAATTTATCCGTTTGCAAAATTTGTAAACGAATGCTGAACATGGTGGAAATGGCTTTTTAGAAAATAGTTGATGGACTGAATTTATCAACCAATTTTGGTTGCGTCCACTGATTAGTGTCTTGTCATATTTTTGAAAACGCGACAAGCAACTATTTGTTTTTCACGTCTCTCCTACCATGAATGAATCATCGAGGAATACGTCTTTTCAGGCAATGAACAAGGAAATGAAGTGAACAGTGAAAAAACGGGTGAAAGTTAAATATGTATGATGTAATGTATATAGCAAAATGGAACGTTAGTCACTTTATTGATATTATTATTATGCGGTTATATAGAGTTTGCACACACAAATACATACTTACATATATACACACATACATTCGATATTTTGTTAGCTTGATGGTTTATCCCCTTTCCCTTACATTTTTCTTCGTAATCGTACAAATAAGTAGGATTAAATCGTAAGTTGAGCTAACTGAACCTAGGTAGGTGATTTAATTTATTGAAAGTAGGTAAGTTGGGGACTCTATTCTATCATTCTTATCTTCTATTGCATTGTATTGGTTTTTTTTGTTCAATACAGCACCAACAACAGCAATCAAACACATCAATCAACACATTATTATTTTCGTTATATTTTAGTAAAGTTTAGTTATATCTTATTTTAGTTATTTATTATTTCTAGACGAATTCGTTACCTATCATTTCTAGACTGTCGTTTTATTATTATCCCTCTCATGAACGGCTGCCTTGACTTGACATAGCGAGGAGGCTTCTCACTAAATGCCGTCCAAATAAGTGCTTCTTCTTCACTTGTTTGTTTTGTTAAAAATGCAATTCTTTATGATTTTGCTGGTTGCATTTTTTAGCGCAAATATTTTCAAACATAGATTACATTAGCATCTGTACATACGCACATGTATAACATACACAAACATACAAATACATACATAAATGCCTACATACATGCGTTATGTAGAGTTATATAAAGTTAGCCAATGTTATTACAATTATTAAATTAGAAATTTTTCAAATTGATGTCTTCTCAGCAGATTATCTGCTGTCTGATTGTAATTATATTGTAAATAGATTGCCTTCTAGTGTTGCTATCTTCTAATTTTAATCATGAGATTAAGACGGCCGATTTAGGTTGTCTTTTCGCGGGTGCGGTGCGGATAATGAGCAGTGCAGGTGCGGGGAGTTGCGAACGTTAAATCTTCGCCGCTTGGGGCTCTAGTAGGTTGGTGTGTGTGTGTGTTGCAGTCAAGGGTCGGGTTTGAACGCCAAGAGATTTCCACCTGCAACATGAACATCGTGTGCAATGTGTTCACGCATTCACGTACGGCGTAGGTTGGTGTGTGTTGCAGTCATCTTTAAAAGGTTATTATTTGTGTAAAATGGTCAGTGAGAAAAAATTAGAGAAAATAAGCACACGTATTTGGTTTTGCGTGAGACGAGAAAACGAAGAAATTGTAAGTTTTGATGAGTGAGGAAGGATGTTTCCATTTTTGATGGGTGGCAATTCTCAAAATGCTTCTCACTTCAAAAGTTTGTGATCTCATATAAATACATGACAGAATGAATTTCAAGTCTAGTCCTTTTTAAAATAATTATCTTTGGTATAAAAAGACACATTTAGTGACAAAAATTAAGAATTCTTGTTGAATTGAACAAAAATGAAAAATTAAGAACGTCAATGGACATAAAACATTATTTGATAAGTGTTTGCCTTCACTCGCGAGCATTCATCACCACTACCACCCCATCCTTATTATCATTACCGCCATCATCATTAACACTACCACGTCCAGCATAGTAATCACAACTTCACCATCGACAACATTAAACGATTTAATCGTGTCTAACGCTACCACAATCGCCAACACTTCCGATACGTCAAATTTTCCACTTATCAATGCACGTAAACATAATCATTATTCATCTTCATTATGTCGCTCGCATTGCAGTCTTATTTGTCGTTTCCATCATCACTTATCCTCACAACATCATCCACATTACATCCAACCGTATCGTTTCATCATAATTCTTTACACTTAATTAACTTTACCGCAAGCACTTATCACTAAATTATCGTTTATAATCCTCACCATCACTCACAAGCGTCATCAACCACTTTACCATTTATCACCACCATCTTTGGAAACAAACAAAAGCACACACACATACACGCACGCACAAAATCGTTATCACCAGTGTCGGAATCGGAGATTTCGGCCGGAGTCGAATATTTTTGAGGGACCGGAGTCGGATATTTTTGAGGAGCCGGATATTTTTCTTCCGACACTCTGATTATCAGCATGATCAGAACAGAACAGACATGAGGATCAAGTTAAATAAAATGTTATAGGAAATTTAAAAAACATACAAAATAAAACACAAGCACATAACCACACGTGCGTACGTAGGCAAATATAATTTCTACAGCTCAGACACGCACATACAAACACACAATCAGACACACGCAGATACATACAAAACGCGCCTACAAACATACATACAGACACACAAACATGAAAACACACACATGCACCGTTTTTGGTTAGCATGTCGTCAATAAAATATATAAGCCGTTAATGAAAAGCAGAATTAAACAAAAATATACCACTAAATGTAAACATCTACTGAAGACACATAAACAAAATTAAAAACTGAAATAAAAACAAAGCAAAGATTTTCTAAAAGTCCAATTTTTAATCATCCAACCAAAATATGAAGCAACAAATAACATTTTTTAATTGAAGCTAACTCTCTGTTTAAGCATCATCATCATATATCGTCCAACCATTAAAATCATAACATGATCGTTAATTCTTTCAACGTGAAAAAAAGAAAACAGAATTACCAGTGACGAAATAATCTTACATTGAAAAAAAGTGACAACTCCGTCGGATATTATGATGAAAATATTTTTTTTTATTATGGCGCACAACAGGGGAGCAAGTTTTTAATCATTCTCCAAATATACACAATCATGAAGAATGTGAAAAATTATTATCGTCAGAGAGACCAAAAAACGCAACTCCATAATTAATTCTGACATCACAATTATTTTTTTTAAATCTACACACAACGTACAATAGAAATAAAAATGATACAATAATAACTGTAAATACTAATCAGAAAACCTCACCAAGCATTTAATTCGCTCAAATAAAATTTACGAAAACAAAAATATTAATATAAAATTTTATAGAAAGACCCCTAAAACAATAATATGTAAAGAAATAACTTTCAATTTTTTCAAAAACAAAAAATAAATAAATGTGTCGTAATTTGTTGCAAATAAATTCAATAATTCAAAAATTCATTTAAGTAGCAAGCATTCAAGAACATTTTAACAACATTCGGTCACGAGGTTTAGTAAGAATTAATGATCTTTTGGATAATAATTATTAACGGAAAAAGAAAGCTAATTCACATAGCAACTAAGTAACTGAATAATATGAACCTATGGTCTGGTCAGGTATACGAATCAATATTATTAATATTAACTAAACTGAGATAACTCGACTTCAGCATTCTTCTTCCAGATAGCGCAACTACAAAAAAAATATTTTTAATCAATATAGGTTAATTAATTAATTAATTAGGTAATTAATTAATAAGTACAATTATGTATATATACTTTGATCAATATTCTGTGAAGCCATAAATAATAATCACTTGTCACCTCTAAAGGCTATAAGTTTAAATTTTAACGATCACAACATGAGTAATAGAACAAAAAGTGAAAATTATTAAATTAGTCAGTTAAACTTATTTCCAGTTTAATACAACTACTGTTACATTTGCAAAGAGCAAATCATAACGATAATAACGACAGAACGACCAATGACGATGAAGATAACTCAACAGAATGGCGATATTTAGGACGATAATATGTATCTTAAGGTATAAAAAGAAAGTACCAGATTACAAGAAGAAGCCGGTGATCAGGGAGCTAGCACCTCTTCTGGTCAGAGCACCAACTCGACTCAAACTCTGAAAACATAACTTCTCAATCAGTCACACAATAAAAAATTCAATCAGACAGCTAACTGTTAATCTCAATTATTCAATCAATAAATCGAAAATAATAAAACAAGTAATCAATCAATCAATCAATCAATCAATCAATCAATCAATCAAATCAATCAATCAATCAAAAACGGAAAGACTACAGACATCACTTTCGGTCCTGAATGAAGATTTCTTGGATTCCTTCCAAGCCAGCTCCTGATACAAAATATTTATTCAACGCCATTAATATTGGTCAACTTGTTCAATTGTTTCATTTTAAAATAAACCAGACAAAACAAAAAAAACATGAAAAGTAGTTAAAGAATATTCGCTAAGGTAATAGGCTAATATAGTAAAGACTGTAATCATTTTTGTGATAACATTTCGTTATACGAGCAAACACAACACACAAACACACCATACATACACACACACACACACACAAACACAAACATGCACACACAAACACGAGCAAGCACATACATTGAATAGTTAAAAAATTAATAGAAGATAGAGATAAGAAAGTGAAACAAGAAAATATATAAAAAAAAGAATGTACACCTCTCCATAGCTGTCAGTGACGACAGATTTCTTGTGCTCCCCTTTCAACCAGCTCTGGTTCTTCATGACGATATCTGACGGACTATGAGTTCCTGTCTTGTCCTGACTCCACACCTGTGTGTGTGTGTGTGTGTGTGTGTGTAATGCGTGTGTGTGTGCGTGTGTTGTATGCGTGTGTTGTGAGTCTGTCTTGGCCAAATTGAGAGCAACCGATTAGACCGGAACCAATAGTTGATTCTCGTCACAACGGTAACGATTTTTGATGAGACCAACTTCTCTTAGCCAAGCTTGCCAGCCCAATATCATCGGCGTGCATGTGCATCGAAACCCCGAGATCGTGAAATCAGGTAGACCAGAAACATATACCGAAAACAGTAAGTCCAGAACTGATCCCCGAGGCACCCCCGTGGGCAAACATAATTCGGTAGACAAACCATCATTAAACAAGACACGTTGTTGCCCTCTATCGGCAACAAGTGACTTCAACCAGCCAAGTGCAAGATCCTCCACCCCTAGCAACCTCAAGCCCAGCCAACAACGGTGGGATATCAAGTGTGTCGAATGCGGCACTCATGTCCAACATAGCCAGTAGTACCACTCTTCCGTTGTCAATGTAAGACACGTCGTCAAACACCTTGAGCGATGCCGTTTCTGTCGAGGCATGTTTCCTTAAAATGGTGCGTCGGACTGAAGACGAGGTGAAAAAGTTGTTGTGATATTTGATGAAGTTGTTTGTTATCTGCGATTATGTGTTTGATGTGAAGACATTGAAAGACCACTAACAGTGATGTGGTGGTGAGGTTTGATGACCACATTCCTCATGAATTTGTACGTGACCTCTTGACCTTCAGTCGACTGAGTTATGGCCCATCCAGACAAATTAATATCCTGTTAAATATATATATATGAAATTTTTGTATCAAAACGTGTGTGTTGTGTTTGTGATTGCACTGGTTATTAAACAGTCATTGTTTATGAATGATTTGATCATGCAAACATGCTATTTGTGTGAGCCCAAGCTTTAATTCACGCATATAATTTTGTGCATAAAATTTTTTATATCAACATTTTAATGGATGCTACAAATAACATGAACCAGAAAAAAACTGCAATTTTTTTTAATAGAAACCTTATCTGATCCATTATAGATCTTGATGAACCTGCCGTCAACATCCACTTCCTGAAGATGAATGCCTCCCTTCGAATATGCATGTCCCCCTGAACTGCTGGATGATGAGGATGAGAACTCCACATAGGACTCACTGAAGCCCCCATCCGCCCCGTCATCCATCAACTTCCTCTTCCTACCACCACTCAACTCCAAACTACGACGACCACTTGACGATGAGGACACGGTGAACTTCGGAGAGGATTGCAATCTGTTGTTGTTCATGTGGGAAGTTAACGGCTAAGTGGCAAAGTTGGAATTTTCGGTTGAAAACGTTTCTTAATTAAATAAATTTTTATGTCTGTACTATGCGTACATAACTAAAACAAAACTTAATAAAAAAATTAAACCAATAGACAATCAATGATCAATAAACCACACTACAAAATTGAACTGTTTTATCAATTATTCAAATGACAATCCAATCAAATGAGACATTTTTAAACCCTAGTCCAATCAAATCACACATTACATGCTCCATCCATCCAAACAGCCGACCAATCACCTGGTCTCTTCAATATCCAGAAGTTTCTTGTAGGCGGCAATTTCGACATCCAACTTGATCTTAAGATCGAAGAGGTCCCTGTACTCCTGCAGTTGATCCTCCAATTGCGCCTTCAACCTCCTGATCTCAGCCTCCTTGATGGCCAGCATTGATGAGTGATCATCTTTTTCCTGTTGCAGCATTCTCTCCAGGTACTCGATGCGGGCTGCTCCATTGTCTGCCTGTGTAGGTTACATTGTTGTTGTTGTTGGTGGTGGTGGAATACGCCGTTCATTACGTTAAAACAGTTATTCACAGATTCTATGATTTCACCATTGAGATTATCACCATCTCAGGGCAAATTTATCATAACCAGACAAATTTACCTTGATCATCATTCACCAGCAGCATCATTATCATAATAGCTGCCCATTACATTTAGATCACAATCACCACTATTGCACTGTCATAACAGAATGACCATTAAAATATATAAATCAACATTACAAGTGACCTTGGCATTGAGTTTCTCAATCTCTCCATTCAGCGTATCGATCCTGGACTTCAACTGGTGAACTTCCATCTGGGCTTTCCTTGCCTCACCTTGCCAGTGTCCAGATGCATTTTGGAGGTCATTGAACTGTTTGTTGGTGTTGCAGAGGTGGTTTTTAAACGTTGAAAAAGAAACATAATATTAAATTAAGTAACCACTTAAGGTGAACTTTGAAATTGTTGAAATATTTCTATGAAATTGCTTCAAATAAAATAGTGATCAGTGTGCTATTTATTTAAAATTAATTATGTCATCATGAACTATAAAATCTCCAATATCATCTATTCCATTCATCTATCAAAAATCATCCTAATCTTCATTTGCTGCATACTCAATATTATATTTTACATAATCATTTTCACAGATTGATCATCACCAACGATATCATTATCTTCAACACCATCCCCACCAACACCATAATCAGCACCATCATAACGATTAGCATCACCACCACTACCACCATTATCATCATCATCACCTTCTTTTGGAACACTGTCTCAATTTCAGCTCTACTGTTAGAAATCTGTTCATCGTTCTCCTCTCTGATTTGCCTCAGCGCCTCGGCAAACTGGTTCTCCAAGTCCCTCTGCTGATCCAACTCCACCAGGTCGATGCCCAGACTGGACTTGCTGGTCGTTGTCGTGCTGATTTCCTGTGGGCAGGTGGGTGAATGTGGTTAGTTGGATGGTTGTGTGTGATAGGATGGATGGTTGTTGTTGTTTGGTCATTAAGTTGGTAGGTTTTGTTTGAGTGGATGGTTTGCTTGTTCTTGAGTTTGCTATTTGGTAATTTATAATTTAGTGTTGTTTTATCATATTTTATAAAATTACTAAAATATCTTAATTTTAATGGCGTTTATGAAAAGTCACTAAAAATTGTATATCCGTTAAAAGCAGGAGAAATCAATCATTAAATATAAATAACAAAAATAAATAACAAAAATATGCACAGAAACATTACATTTCTTTTTCAATTGAAAATGTGTAAACATTTTTCAATTAGACCTACTTCCAGTATCTGTCAGACTTAAAAACTAACTAACTACTTGTCAAACTTTCCTTAACATCACCAAACACTCAAGCATTCAAAATAATTTTGAAGAAATGTACGGTGCATCAATATTTTCCATATCAATATCATCAATTGATTCCGTTTAAACGGAAAAGAAGAATTATTTCTGATCAGATTCAATTTTATTCAAATCTCAATATTTGCAATTATAATTGCATTCCAAACTTTAATAAACATTTCTTAAACATATAAGAAACATCCATCCATAATGCTTTGTTGAATCAATCAAAAATCAGTAACACACACGCACGCATGCACACACGCACACAAAATTACACCTACATTGAATAACTATGATGTGAATAAGCATTATAATGTACAGTGTGTATGTAAGCATTGCCTGTATGAACTTGATAACAACTTTTGTTACAAATTCTCTGCTGTACACACTTTACAAAGCATATACATATAACTAAATGAATGTATTTGTCTGGGAAAGTGTACATATTAATCCTTTTATATAGAACATAAGGAAATGTAATGATGCCAGTGTGTTTGAAAATTTATCTATTTTAAGATTGCTATAATTTGTAACATTTAAGCCATCAATTTCTAGCATCTCTATATAAATAAAAATAAAGGTACAATCCTTAGAAAGCTCATTCATTCATGTTTCTATGATGAAAATAAATGACAACTATCATGCAGCCTTATAATATCTCAGTCTAGAAAAAATAGATTTAGAAAAAATGTAAACACAACACTGAGGTGAACATTAATTATAGTCTCGTGAAATAAAGCTCTTTATTATAAACCCATAAACACCTTAGAACAACTCAAGCACCATCGTTATTTTAATTATGATGACCATTTTTAATTGGTAGTGAATAAATCTTACAAAAAATTAAATCATAAACTCCTCAATATGATTTATTATCACAGATAATTCCTACATTTAAAAAAAATTTCTACATTCAATTTTTAAATTATTATCAGAACTTCAGGTCTCCATAAAGCTTATATCATCAACAACAAAATCTGGAACATAGCCATGGTTATAGTCATTATCATGCCAACATTATTATCTTTCTGATGTCATTGTTTATCATTTCTCTCTTTTGTAAAAGAAATAAAAATTGAAACTTCAACTGCACTTCCAGCAAACTTAGCATTCAACTAGGTCACATAAATTATGTTAATCAGGCAGTCATTACAGGATAAAATAAATTATTGTGGAAAACTGGAAAAGGTGTGCTACAATGTATATGAGATAAGGTTTGACATAAATTGATATTGCTGAATTGCTGACAAGCAATAAATACAATCAGCTGAGTATATGTGTGAATGTGTATTAACATGTGTGTATGTGTGCATGTGCATCCGATTATGTTTGTGCGTTAATTTGTGTGTTTGTGTGTTCACTTCAAAGAAATACATTTTGTGAAATAGAAAATAAAGTTTATCTTATTTAATAAACGCTTTACAACGAACGAAACTCTCTCAATTTTTCCTTACACTCCATTTTCCATCCTTCATGCATGAATTAATCCTTAAACTCAAATACGTGTGTATGTGTGTGTGTGAGTTGTGTGTGTGGTGTATGTATAGTGTGTGTGGTGTATGTATTGTGTGTGTGGTGTATGTATTGTGTGTGTGGTGTATGTATAGTGTGTGTGGTGTATGTATTGTGTGTGTGGGTGTACACCTATTGCCTTGCCTACATCACACCTATATGTTTTAAACCTGTTGGTATATATTTTTAGCATCAACAACAGCAGCAGCAGCAGCAGTAGAAAAAGAAGCAGCAGCAGCAGTAGTAGTAGTAATGAGAAGGGAGTGCATGCATCTATTATATTGATGAGTGATGTGATGACTGAGTGGGCTAATATATATATCTATCTATTTATCCATTCACTTATTTGTTCATCTATCTATCATTTCAGCCAATCATCAAAATACCTGTTTATCAATCCATTTATACAACTGTCTATTTATCTATCTGTCTCTCTACCCATGGGTGTATCTATCCATCTTGTAAAGATATAAAACCAATCCTCCAAAAATCATTTTGATAAATTCCTCAAAAACGAGATTGTTTTCTCAATTAGAAATTATATTATTAATATTCAACATGAAAAATCTAAAAAAGATAATTTAAATTGAAAACTTTAGAATAAACATAGTCAAAATTAAAACTTTCAATTTCAATGTTTTTATTTTACAATTACTCCTGTAAAGTCTCAAATGATCATCACAATATAAAATTATAAAAAAAATCTCTATTTCAACAATTGAAAAATCTTTTAGAGAAAACCTTAAAAAAAAGGAAATGAAATAACTAGATCAACCTGTTCGTGGACCTCCTGTTCGAATGCAAGCTGTTCCTTCAGGCTTTGTATACGGTTTTCCAAGTCAACTCTCTTGATGGTCTCATCTTCCAACTGCTTTTTTGCAATAGCCAACTGCTTGGTCAGCTGGTCCACTTCCTTCTTCAGCCTCTGCAAGATTTGTTTGGTTTTCATGATTCATGAGAAGTGTTGAATACAACTTGTAAGAAAGTCATTAGATTTAATTGTAAATAGTTATAGTTACAACTTTTCCCAATGGATTTATTATTGAAAAGTCGGCTTGTTAGTTTAAGGAAATGAAATTCAAGGCATGTATAAAGTTATCAATTGATTCTAGTTTATCAATCATTCACAACATTCAAACAAATTTTGTCCCATTATTAAAACCTCCAGCCCATAAATCAATAAAATTTAAATTCTGAAACAATGCACTGAGACAACAATAACAATAACTACAGTAAAAGTAATAACAGAGGCAGCAATCAATGATGATGACAATGATGATGAAAAAAATGAAACCAATGAACCATAGGTACAAACCAGTCATAAATCATGTATCTAGTAGGTAGGTACATGTGACAGTGCTCATTAAATTGTACAGTACAATAATATGTGCACACATCTGACCACAATTTGTACACACACACACGCACGTACACATAGGACACAGAGGCCCATTGATTGCACATCATTATACATGCAAGTGTGTGCACTGTGTACACATTTCTAACTTGGTAAACAAACAACCATGTGTACTTCACAGTTTACACTTTAACACAGTACCTAGATGCACACGCTTATAACATATTTATCTATATACAGAATACATAGCTAATGGATGCATATATACACGTATACACATATACACAGACACACACAATATCACATACAAACATAAACATGTGGACAGCGCAAATTATGGTGATTGCCCACAAAGACCTTAAGAAAAACATGCCAGCACATATAGTAATATAGTACAATGGTACACACACACACACACACACACACACACACACACACACACACACAGCGATGATGTTAATTAAAAACATGCACACAGCAAAAACACATGATACATTTCACTTAAACTACAGCCATCATGGCGCACAAAATAACATACAAAATACATCCAAAACAACAGCCAACATACCAATACAAAATGGCACAACACACACAACATCTGCACGTCAGCACAAAGAGACAACATTCTGAACATATGCTTTCAACTAAAATATAGTTATGATAATAATCAGAAGTGAAAGAATAAGTGAAATACAGAACAAATGAATGAATGACTAGTTAGTGAAAGAATCAAAGAATTTCATTGTGGTGTTGATAGTTCAATCAAGCATATGTAAGTGAGCAGGCTAGTTTAAAGATTGTATAAAGGCTAGGTGCTATTATATTAATTATTCAGTTATAATAAGATGGATTTAGATTGTTTATCATAATCCTTATAGTTTATCCTTCAAGTTGAAATATTAATCTTTACCATTTAACCCTTAACATACCAAGGGGGGTCCTTCAAGGACCCCAGAGAGTAGTTTTCCTTAACCCTGTCAAAAGTAACCAAACAAATTCCACCATGATTTTTCTATTCCTCCCGATTAGGGTAGCAATAAATATTCCATTGTTGTTTTTATTATACGTTATTTCAAAAACAGTAAAAAAAATAAAAGAGCATTGGGGTCCGTGTAGGACCCCGCTTGGTACACTACGTTACCGATTGTGTTTTTGTTTTTTAACACTTATGGCTGAAATTGTAGACACATTTTAAAGGTTTCAGTATTAAAAAGTATTATTCTGCATTCTTACTGAATATTTGCTCATCTTACTTACTTTTAATTTGTCCTCCATTTGCAAAACTTCCGTTGAAAATTATTATTTGCTGTTTCAAATAAAGTTTATAATTTGCTGTAAAGATTTTGATAACATAAAATATAAACGTAAACGTTTGAAAATAAGAAAAATGGCTCGTAGACAAACTACAGATGAGATTCTCCGAATGTTAGATGAATGTGAAATCAGTGACAGTGACCCGGAAGATGTATTGGAACAATCTGATGAAGAATTTGTGATTTCGGATGTTTATATGTATATTTATATACATATATGCATCTCCAGCAGGAGATGCATCCGAATTGGAGGACAATCTTGAAGTAAATTCTGAATATAGTGACAGTGCTAGTGAAAATTCGGATACAAATTCGGATGAAGATGAATTCACAGCAAAATCAGGTAGAAGATGGACAAGTTCTGTGCCACCATCATCTCGCCGTCGTCAATATAACATTGTCAAGGGATCACCCGGGCCAACACGCGCAATTAATGTTGCATCGACGATATCTGAAATTTTCAACTGGTTCTTTGACGACCGAATTGTGGATGCTATATGCACCTTCACCAATGCTGAAGCTTCTAGAGTTATTAATGATTTCAATGCAACTGCTGATTCGAATAAACAGAAAGCTTGGACAGATGTAGACCCTGTTGAAATAAAAGCATTTTTTGGTGTTCTGCTGATTGCTGGAGCTCTTCGCTGTAGTAAGGAAAATATTTCTGAAATGTGGACGACAGATGAAAATATTCGTCGTGCTGTTTTTACTGCTGCCATGGCACGAAACAGATTTGCACTCATCCTTCAATTTATCAGGTTTTGACGACAAATTAACACGTGCTCAAAGGAGAACAACTGATAAACTTGCAGCTATTTGTGAAGTTTGGGATTGGTTTGTAATAAATTGCCAAACGCTTTTTACGCCATTTGAAAACATCACAGTAGACGAGCAGCTTGTAGCATTTCGAGGCAAATGTCCGATGAGGCAGTACATGAAATCAAAACCAGCAAAATATGAAATAAAAATATGGGTGGCCGCAGATGTGAAGACTTCATATTTGTACAACTTACAAGTCTACACTGGAAAGCTTCCAGGAAATGCACCAGAGAAAAATTTAGGACACCGCGTAGTATGTGACTTGGTGGAACCACTGTTTGGATCTGGAAGAGGTGTCACTACAGACAATTTTTTTACATCCGTGAAGACTGCAGAATTTTTGCTGCAAAAAAGCATCACCATGACAGGAACATTGAGAACTAAAAAAACTGATATTCCTTCAGTTATAGAAAATGCAAGAGGAAGAGACATACTTTCATCAAAATTTATATTTTCTAACGGGGTAGCAGTAGTCAGCTATGTCCCAAAGAAAAACAAAACAGTCCGTTTACTCTCAACTCAATTTCTAGATAATTCAGTATCCTCTGAAAGTCACAGGAAGCCCAACATGATACTGGAATACAATAATACCAAGGGTGGAGTGGACAATGCAGATAAATTGATTAGAGAATATTCTTGTGCTAGACGAACCTCAAGATGGCCTCTAAGACTTTGCATGAATATGCTCGATATTGGTGCCCTGAATGCCTTCATAATTTGGATGTCGAAAAACAATGACTGGAATAGACATATGAAGAATATTAGATATCAATTTTTGTTAGAATTAGGCAAAGAACTGACCAAACCCAACATTCTACGAAGGGCAACCAATCTAAATGGTCTCCACCTTCCAGTTGTCAAAGCAATTGAAGCTGCAGGAGTAGTTGTAGCACGCAACACTACAACCCAAAATATACCATCAGCATCAAGGCAGCAGCAGATCAAAAGGGGAAGATGTTCTTACTGTCCCAGAAACAAAGACAAAAAAGTTAACACAGTCTGTGGAGAATGTAAACGTTTTGTCTGTGAAACACACAGGAAGACAATCACCACTGTGACATGCGCCAAGGATTGCAGGGATAGCAACCAATGATTGATATATATAAATTTATAAACATATTATATACATAACATTTACCTATTTTTATTATAATAAATTTTTCATTATATTATTTTAAACGGATGAAAATTTTGAATAATCGATGAAAAGAAGAAAAATCAATTATGCTCAGAATACTTGTTTTACTAAAAAATATCTTAAAACACCCAATAATCATCAAATAACTGAGAAATATCAAAAAATAATTGGGGTCCCTTGAGGACCCCAGCTTGGTAAACAATGTTGATGACATTGGCTTGGTATGCTAAGGGTTAAAACAGCCATAATAATCAAGATACAATATCATAACTATCATAACTATCCGTGTCATCATAATCACCACCCTCATTATCGGTGTCATCATCAGGTCGTCATCGCCATCCTTATCATGTACAAGTGAGTGAAAAGAATAATGAGTGAATAAATGTATGAAGGTATGCAACTAATTAGGAGACTGAATGACTAGCAAATGATTGAGAGGTAGAATGAGTGAATGAATTTGTGAGTGATAAATGAATGAGTGAGTGAATGAATGAATGATCATATGAGAAATTAAATAAATAAATGAGTGAACAAATGAATCAATAAATAAAAGAATGAGATGAGTCAAGAATTGCAAGAATAGCTAGTGCACAAAAGAATAGAACAGATGAAAATTTCTCAAAAAACAAACATGAATGGATAGTGAATATGTTTGTTCTCTCTCTCGCACACATACACACACACACATACACACACAGGCACTCGTTCATCCGTTCATTCATATTGTTAAATTCATAATTCAAATTTGCCGCCAGATAAAAAATATGCATACACACAGGCAGACACACACAGACAGAAAGACAGACACAAACACACACACACACACACACACACACACACACACACACATACTCAAGCATACAATGTTGAAATGTAACTAGATATAACCAATACAAGTAAGTTAATACCATGTAATCTAATGGAAGAAGTTTAATGGAAACAAACTTAATTTTACTTATGGCCATGTTCATAAAACAAAACAGCAATGAACCAACCAACAGAAGGGAATGAGTGCATTAATATGAGAAAATATGCTAAATTAAAATGTAAAAAAAAAGTATGGACTGATTAATAAAAACTCAGTCATGAAACCTACCTATCTAGCAATTTGCATATAAAATCCTATCCTACATAGGAACATGTAATTACACATACACACGAACGCACACACACATACACACACACATCAACATAAGCGCATTCCATCCAACTCACTCACACCCACAAACACATAAATGAAGTTCCATATTAAAACACACAAGCACGTTAACAAATGCGCATACAAAATACTTGTATAAAAAAAACACAAGTGAAGTAACAACAACACCAACAGCAACAAACAACATCAACAACAACAACAACAAAAAAACAACAATTCAATTCATGAATTGAAAACGTGTAACAGAACTTGTTCATGTACTGTACTGAACACGTTGTGTTAATGAAATAAAATGCATAGCCCACACTTCAGAAGCCTGCCTGCAGCTAAAAATATTTCATCATTATCATTATCGCAACATTCAACATTTGACGTCATCAACTTCGACATCATCATCATCATCAATAACATCACCATCCATCACCACTAATATCATCATCATATCATTACCTTGATATATTCAACATTCAAATGTACTACAGCACCAGCATTGAAATTATTTTTCATCATCATTCATAACAGGAACATGTATGCTAATTGAGAGAAATTAAACAAAACACATACACACACACACAATCACACATACACGCACGCACACACACAAACACACACACATACATATACACACAGACTAACAAAATCGCATTTTAATTATGAGCACAATTAATAAATGAACAATATAATGGATGTTGTTGTAAAAAACCAACAAAAACCATCTTGCATGCATCAGCAAGCATCTAATCAATAACAGACAGGCAGGCAGTTTGGCATGCAGTGAAGGAGGCCAATGAAGCACACAATGCACAACTAACTAGGTATATGAAGCAAGAATTTGTAGCTGATGTTACTGGCAATTGCCAGTGCTAATTCACCATCATCATCTCCACTTCATTATCAAATTTCATCATTATTACATCAACTGTATCATTTTAATCATCATCAATATTATTGCAAATTTAATGGCAAACAGTAACCTCACAAAACAAAAATAATAACTTTCAATAAAATGAAAAAAAACCAAAGAATAGAAAAAGTTAAAACATAAAATAGTTAATGAAGATGTGAACAAAAAATACAAAAAAAAAACAAAACAAATAAACATACGGCCAGCTCCTCTTCCACTAATCTTCTCTGAGCAGCAGAATCTGACAATCGAGCCTGCAGACTGTTCACCTGAGATTCACAGGACAGATATTTCTTCTCCAGCTCTCCGTGGGCCCTGTCCTTGTTATTGAACCTTTCATTGGGATAAATTATTTTTAAATGTCAAACATTTAGAAAACTGACTTGGTTTCTATTTTTTATTGGTGAAAATTTACTATCTATATTTATATTTCCATGCTAATATATTATATTATTGTGATACATTGAAATGTAAATGTTTTGATACAACTACAAGCAAGTTTAAACATAATTGATGCCCATCTAATCTCAAATATAGATAAAATAAAAAAATCATTTATCTATCTATACCTAAATTTATCTATATATAATAAATTGACTAAGAATTATCTATAAAATTATAATTAAACTAAGAAAACACTAGGTTCTTCAAAACTTTAAATTATGAACCACCTCCTCAGCCTTCATCTTCATGTAAGTAATTTTTATTAATTTCAATTAATTGTAACTCTTATACAACTAGGTTTTACTTTTAATTTTTTTTAACAAACAATTAATAAAACAAATTGCACAACAACAAACTTGGCAACGAGGTCATCATAGTCTGATCTGACTTTGTTCAACTCCAGTTGCACCTTGGCTTTTTCTTTGCCCATCTCATCCAGCAGCTTCCTGGCGTCATTGAGTTCCGCCTCGAAGAGGGACTTGATCTTGGCTGATTCAGACGAAGAAGATTCTTCGTAAGACTTGATGACCTTCACAAGTCTTCCATTTTCAAACTCCAACGACCTGACACGCTCGATGTATGCGGCCAATCGATCGTTCAAACCGGCCAACTGTTGTTTCTCCTCCATTCGAGAAATCAACGTTGGGGAGGCAGGTCTACGTGAACCACCGGAACTCATCCCTGAACTACTGCCAGACGAAACTACCGTAACTGACGACGTCGTGAAAGTGCTTTTACCGGCGGCTGGAGTTAGTTTCTTGCTTTTCGACGACATTTCGATATCAAAAGTAAAATCAAATAACCTAATTAAAGGAGAGGAAGATCGGCATCACACCGAGTTAAAGCCGGACAGCTGCACAGCTATATATATCGCAAGAATTAGTGACTGAGGTGTTTCAACCATGGCCAATCAACGTTAACTTTGCATAATTTATGCCAGCATTTTTTATTTTACATCTTTTGCCAAAATTTTTTTTAAAGTTTTTAATCACGATGAAAATTTTTAGGTTTAAGATTTTACATTTTTTTTTTACATTTTACTTTTTCTCTAGCTCATCACCTTAAAAGTTAATTTTAATACAAATTTGCGGGAAGGCGAAAAAATTGGAATTTGGTTAAGTTTTCTGAATCTTCGCCATCAAAATGGGAAATGAGGCCAGCAGTTCGCAAGATGGCAGCCAGCGGATACCAAACGATATCAACTTATCGTGGGAAAGATTAGTCTTTGAAGACATCGAAGCCAGGGACGGACACTGCGCCTGTGCTTGTGATGGCAAGCTGTACATATTTGGCGGAGTGAAACATGGCGGAGGCGCTGGTGGGAAGGATGGCTTCCATGAAAGCAACGAACTTCTTGTTTTTGATCCTAGTTTGTTCAATTTTTTATTCTTTAAAATTTAAATTTCATTTTTTTAGGGCTTTTTTTCTTTATCACAAAATCAAATTTAATTAATTTATTTTATTGGTTTAATTTAATTTTTAATAATATTAATTTTAAAAACTTCAATCAAACAAATAAAACAAATTAATTAACAATAAAAAAATTTGAGATTCTCAAATAAACTAGTTATTTAAATTATAATTAAGAATATTATAAAATAAAATGATTAATAAAAAAGACATAGACAACAGAAAGACAACAGAATAGCAATAGCAAAAAAGACAACAGAATAGCAATAGAGAAGCTTGTTAAGTGGTGTCTGAGATTTATATGTTTTATTTTAATAGTTATCTGATAAGTTATCAGCGATAACATTACAAAATGTTTAAAATAAATATGATAATAACAGTTGTCACCATCATTTTTATTTAAAATTTTTTTTAATCTTTTTGTAGTGGAATGTATGTACAACAAGCAACACATAGATTGGTTATTATGATTAAATATAATAAAATAATATATATATTAAATATGTTGATGTCTGTTATGACATAAACATTTTTTCATAATTATTTTCATTGAAACATCATTTTTCAAGTTGCAAGAACATGCAAAGTTTTAAATGGTGGCGGTGATATCCCAGTCAGTCGATCATCAGCTGTGCTGGCCTGTGTCAAAGACAATCTCTATTTATTTGGAGGGCTTAATGCTGACAGTGGGTGGTTCAATGACCTTCACCTCTACAACACAAGTAATAAATAGATTTATTCCATTTTTAACATCGACTCTTGAATGGAAATTTTTTTTTATAATATAAATTTTTTCTTGTGCATTGAAAGTATTCAATGTTCTGCCCATTCTCTGTTACAATTAAATAAATGCAAGGTGCCCAATTTGATCATTATCTTTCAAAACTTCAGCAACTAATCTTTGGAAGAGGATTGATTTGCCAAGTGGACCGACACCGAGGGACAAGATGGCAACCACCGTCGTTGGTTCAAATATTTATATCTTTGGAGGCTTCGGACCGTACTGCAAAGCACAGGTGATCAAAGATCATGTAATTTATTGAAATATGAAAATGCTCATTTTTGTGGATGCTAATGATTGATCCGTTGAGAATTATTTAATATGCATCTTCATGCATTTGTTCTGTTAATGAGTTTATCTTTTTTGCATTTAATATAAATAAAAGTTGTCCAATGTTGACTAGTAATTGATAATAGTGTGTGGTTTATACAACACTCTGGCAGGCACTTGGAATCAGCGTTCTGCAGGCATCATAAACTTTTATTTAATTTATTGGAAATTTGAAATGCCACATATTTGTTGTAAACCAGGTTGAGAATGCTATAAATAAAGAGAATGTTGAGGAGGAAGAGGACGAGGAAGAAGAAGAGGAGGAGGAGGAACCACTGGATGACAGCAACATTTTGGATGATGAGTCTGCAAAATTTGGCTGGTTTGATGACCTCTACATATTCAACACTGGTTAATTAATCATCATCTTAAATTTCCAAACAATTGAATATATAATCTTGGTTGTTATTTTCCTATCTTAATTCATATATTTCCAATAACTTCTTATCTATGTTAATGTTATTGAATTTCTATTGAAAAGAAATCAACATGTGGATCCAGCCTGTACAGATGAACCTGGCCTGCCCCTCTCCCAGGGCAGCCCACAGCATGAGCGCCACCTCCAGGGGTGTGATCATCTTTGGAGGCAGAGATAAACATGGTCGGAATAATGATCTTCACATCTACGATACAAGTTGCTAGTTGTTTCTTATTTCAATTCTTTTTCATTTTAATTAATAAATTCATTTCTTTTTCATATCAATTCCATAAACTTGAATTATTATGAAACTTGATGGCTAAGAAATTTTTCATTATAATTTTATAATTTTAAACACTGACAACATGGTCAGATTCAAGAAAGTGGGTAACAGATCTGTCGATTGCTGGGAAATATCCGTCGGCTCGGTCATTCCATTCATCAGTGGCTGTTGGCGATCGAGTGTTGGTTTGTGGTGGACGAGCAGCTGATGAACATCACTTCAATGATGCCCACATCTTCGATTCTGGTCCATTGCCATTCATTTATTTTATTCCAACCGTTTATTCTAAATATCTCTTTGTCCATACAATTTTTTTCTTATTTGTTCGATTTTCATCACATTTTTTTGTTGTAATAAATTTCATTGATACTGAATCTTCATATCAAATTCTAAATCTCATCAGTTACGTTACATTAACTGTTTGTTCTGACATTAAATACTTTGAATTTTCAACCAGAAACTCTGCAGTGGTTGCAGCCAATAGTGAATCTTGACACTAATTACACTAAACGAGGGGTCCACACGATGAACGTCGTTGGCGACTACATCGTCATGTTTGGAGGATCTGCTGATTTTGATGCTGAGACAGTCCAGTGTACCACCTTCCTCAATGATTTCTATCTCCTAAAAAAGAGTTATAATCATTTTCCAACTTTTTCTTCTTACTATTCATTTGGTTTTTATTTTTTATATTGCTGTTTTCAATTTTAAAAAATATTAATAAGTTATTTAAATAAAATGTTCATTATTGTACTGTGTAATTGTTTATTTTTAATGGCTCATTATTTAGCACCATCTCATCATTCATGTGCTTGACATGAATTGAAAGTTTTGATTTAAATATGTTTCTTCAATAAATGGAATGTCTTCCAACTGGCAGGTGATGTCCTAAAGGGAGCCGCCCTTCCAGAAATTTCCTCGGAAAATGATGGAATGAATGTTGATGAGGATGGTGGTGGTGCTGACGAAAACGCAAAAATTGAGACAAGGCAACGGAAATAATGATCTTGATCTGAAATAGTCATGATCCATCATCGTATAATTTTTCATATTTACCATGCATGTAAATTAATTATTTATTAAATTAATTCATTCATTTAGTTAGTTTTATTTATTCATTCATTCACTCATTTTATTTAATTGGAACGTTTTATCACTGTTTTGAACTGGTGTATAGTCTGGTTGATGTTCAGTTAATGGAAAAAATTAAATTATTCGACGGTTGACAATGTTTATTAACTTTCAAACTAAATCGCAAACCCAAAATAAATCATATTTTGGACGTTAAAAACTAAAAACTTGATTCTAAGAATCGTTTAAACGTTCGAGAATCTATGTGAAACTTGCTTGCGCTTTATAAAAATTTTTTACATTATTTTTAAGATATCTTCTATCTTGAATTTTTGTACCTTGCTCTTGCATTTCTTCACACTAAGGAAACATTGTTTTTCATCTACGCGTTTTAGGTTATTTTAATGTTAAGAGTATTGGAATAGTAAAGAATAATAATGGCTGGCCCTACCCTTAATTATTTGCTTTTATTTTCTCTAATCCGTTCTTATGCAGCCAGTCTAATTTTATTCAATTTGCATCTATTAACTGATACTATACATAATTAAAAAAATTAATTCATAATTTAAGGGAAAGAAGATTTAAAACTCAAGAGCTAATTTGACGATTTGTAGTAAAACAAAATCAGCTAGTTAGATGAAGCGAGCGATAAAGTGTACTTAACAGACGATAATAGTCACAGCGCACTGATGACTGAATTGCTTAAAGGCGCCACATAAACTTACAATTCTAACAATAACTCCTTTGGTGTCGTTAGAAACTCAGGTACGGGCTTACTTAGGGGAGTTTCTAACTTTGAATGTAACGTGAAAATGCAAACAGATCGTAAAGTTTGCAGATGCCTGTGTCTGTATTTCTGGACGTTTGTTAGAAAACATCAAAGAAACACTGACGAAGTGTTACGTCACGCATTGCGTCACACGTCCCTAACATCTTTTGCGATTCTCTCCGGGCTAATAAATCATGCAAGACGATTGATTTATTATCAATAATTATCAATATAATTATAATTAATAATAAAATAAACGCATTGGGTATTTGAAATTTTACCATTCTACCACATAAGTATGAATGCTGATCAGGATGATGATGATGATGATAATCAATAATGATGTTCATAATGACGGTTTGATGTGACGTTGATGACGATGATTGGGGCGATACTATGACAGTCTTTCATTGCCTTGACGCGGATCAAAAATATCGCATTTCCTTAACCTGTCAGAATAACGAAAACAAAAGAGGCATTCATCTGTTTTCTATTTACGTCACTTAAAATGAAATAACCATTAAATGACACGAACAACAATAAAATTAATAAAACGGTTTCATCCAAAAATAACTTATCATTCATTCATCCAAAGTCACATCATCTACCTACTTATCCATCAATTCTTTAAATGACTCACCTGAACAATGGATTGCGTACACCTGGATTAACTATTCCAAAACAGGTGTTTCATGTCTTGTTTGTACATACATATAAGATACACACATAAGGCACCCATACGTGCATACACACACACACACACACACATATATATATATATATATATATATAAACACATACATACATATAACGTATGTTTAATATGTAAATAAACATAACCACGAACAAACAAATGTACGTTTTCGTTAGTTTGCTTATGCGAAGTAAATGAATTTATGAGTGAGTTAATGGAAGCAAACATACACGCGCACGCACACACATAACTAAACACACACACACGGTGTTCTGTATGTATATGTATATTCATATATAACACTGTTTATATACGTTCGTGTATACATACTTGTATAGTGTATACATTTATAGAATGGTTTGTTTTAATAGACAAGCGGCCAGCTAGATGAAGAGTATATAAACTTATGAATGAATGAAGTAAGATAACTTGATCGGTCGTTCACATGTTTGCTCTGGAATTATTAAGACAAATTTTTCGTAAGAGAATCATATATTCTCGTTCGCGTTAGTTATTTCTATTTTGATGTTTATAGTTAGTTATTTATTTGTTGGGCTGTCACAAACCTTTGGAATTTTGATTACCTATTGAATTAAACATTGTTTACATGTATTATTAAAGTTTATTGAACATTTGAATATTTTTAGAGATGAACGGTTAGAAATAGGAAGCAGAAATCTCATTGAAAAATTATCAACTGCAACAACGTTCGAGATTCAAGAACATTCAACAACAACGGCCAACAACAACAGCCAACAACAACAACGGCCAACAACAATAGCCAACATCAACAACAGTTTTCGACAGCATCAAATAATACATAAAATTATAAAGTGAGTTAATTTTGATAATTTCTTAAATTTTCAACGTTATAATTGTGCAAATTTTTATTTTCAATGTTCCTGCTCATCATATATGCAATCCACGTTACGTTACTCAGTATTTTAATTATTACTTCGTCAGATCCTTTTTATCATTCGTTCATTACAATTAAAGTTAAGCCCATTATATCCTTATAACCAACTGTTACGATGCATTAGAAACAATCAAAATTTACCTTTCGAGATTCAAATTAACTGTTTAAAAAAAAATTGAACACGGACGATCACAAACACATGTTGTCCAGATATGATACACTAAATATGTGATATTTTATATACACATAAAAACAACACTATCTATAAAATACAAGACATGTAGCTCCAACATACAAACAAACAAACTCATATAAGAACATACAAACAAAAGAACAACGACAATACAGAAATCAGAACATACATTCGTTCATTTTTACAATACAATATTTTTTTCACATTTTTTAAATGCTTGAGTGGTGATAGAGCCTTGATAAATTACAATCCATTCATGTTAAAAGTTTGCGTATTTAACATTCAATGCTGGTCATAAAGCAGAGGCAGAAACGCTCATTGCCTATACAATAGATTACCGTTACAACGTACGTAAATTTACATCATTTTTTCATGCTTTTTAAAAACTTTATAATAATAAGTAGAGGATTTTATTTTATGTGTCATCATTAATTTAATATTATTAGTTACACAAATTTTAAAGTTGTTGAATAATGTATTAATAACGTGAATTGAATTTATACACATTTGACATAAAGTCCAACAATTTTTGTGAAAAATTTCCAATCATTTCAATCCTTTTTGGAGCTATTTGGTTGAACAGTTGATATTAACTCTGACAACATTACAACATTTTCTTCTTCAAACTTTACATGCAAAAGCGCAATTATGAGAAATACCACAGCGCTACACCACACCACATCTCACCACACACACCACCCCACAATAGGCCACACATCACCACAGACCACACACACCAGGCCACAACAGGCCACACATCACCACACTACAATGCACCATACCATGATGAAGGTTACTAAGACGCATTAACAGAACTTTGACATGGTATAACTTATTAAATAGCAGCACGTACGCATTGTGTCATTGTGTCACCAAAAAGTTTGCTTACAACGTAGTAGTTAGACTACGTTGTATCCAAACCTTGCGAGTTGATGTAACCTTTCCTTGGTAACTTCGTTCTACGCGAGTAATTACACGTTACGATATTACAAAATAAAATTATTATAAACATACGTTTATTGGAAGTTTAATCAAATTTGGTTGCATTACATCTTTAATTAAAACGTATATATATATATATATATATATATATATATGTGTGTGTGTGTGTGTGTGTGTGTGTATATATATATGTATATATATATATATATATATTGAAAAAGTGTGCGTGTGTCAATGTGTACGTGTGAGTGTGCCAGTGTGTGTGCGTGTTTGTGAGTGCGTGTGCGTGTGTGTGTGTGATATTGTTATATTTTACGTTATATGTTCATTAACCTGCTGATACACCAATGAATTGTTCGGTTGAGTTTAGTGTTTAGAAGGTTAGCACAGGTAAGAAAGCAGGCAGGCAGGCAATTAGGAATGCTTGTTGAAATTTTTCAAATATTTTCAAACTGGCTTTCGCTGACTTCGATTCGATGGCTTATGAAGTTGCGTACGATTGCTTGATGAACTTGAAATACAAACAAGTTCAAAACAACATTGTGTTCGTTGTTATAATAATAATAACTATTATTATTTTTGTATTAGTTATTATTGCTAACTTCATTAAAATTCAACTTTGATATTGTGGTTGTCCGAGGATGGAGAGGAAGGTAGACAAAGAGTTTGGGGTGCCGAAATGGGTGGGCATCTATGAAAACAAAAGCTAAAATGAATAATTATATTGACCACAACCATTGAATCAGTCAATTTAAACAGTGGAAATTTATTAATACCTACTTTATTATTGAGAGTTTGTTGTGAAACTATCTTATTCAGCAGCTCATGTTCATTCATTCTGTTCAGCATAATGTATCAGTCACATTATGTAGCAATAGTCAGATGGAGTCTGTTGTTTATATTTGCCTAATCATTTGATTATGTGCTTGTGTGAATATGTGTTTTATATTTCACACGAATGTTTATATTTACTGACTTGCTTACACGACTTCACACGTACATAAGGCCTGTTTACGTTTCAATGTGTGCTGAAATGTTTGAAGTAAGCGATGGCGCGAGTTTGTTGTTGAGGGGTTTTCAGCTGACTTTCCACACTTCACTACGCAATGTAAACGCTAAACTGACTTCGTCTTCTCAACTTACTTCATCACGTTGCTTAATGGTTGTCTTGTAAGGTCTCAACTTTACACAAGGTTCATTACACCAAATGCTACTGACTAACATACTGGATGATAACCATCAACTGCCATCCACCACCAACCTACCACCAACCAACATTTTGATTGCTGTGGTTCGTTTGGTTACACGGACCAAACTTATTAACATCGTCAGCGTTTTCATTCCATGTTGAAATTTCGTACGTCTGAGTTTTATTTAAAAAAAATTAATTGTTAACATTTTAAAGTTTTAATTGAATATTAAATGGGAAGTGTTGAACAATCAATGCGCCAGTGTTGTCGGGCTCATGATAAAAATTCAATTATTAATTTTTCACTGGCTCGATAAATGCGTGGCTAATCGTCTGTTTGTTTATATGTATGTATGTATGTATGTATGTATATGTATATATGTGTTTGTGCGTATGTGTGTGTATGTGTGTGTTTTCGCATTCATAACTGCTTGCGAAGTGTACGTGGTGCATTGGTATGTATGATCGTGTATTCTCTGATGGTTTTTTTTACATACATACATACATACATACATACATACATACATACATTTGTGTGAGAATTATTCTCTTCTGTCTTTGACATCACGTAGTGAGGCAGCTTTGAGTTGTTTTAAAATATGTGCCTATCTGTGTGCTTGTAAGTATGTGTGTGTTTTCGTTTTGTTGTTCACAGTGTGTGTGTAGTACAACTATGTATTTATTGTATTGTAATGTCATATGAATGTTCAGTGTGCTGATCTGATGAATGTTCTACGAATTAATATAATATGATAAATGCTTCTGATACTCTCTATAGAATATTACGCGTGTAGATGTACAGTGCAGTATTTGGATGTGCAATAGAATGTGCCTGCCTCATGTCATTCTTATGCATACCGTTATTTTTGTTTATTGTTACTATGCTATTGTCATCATTTTTATAGTTGTTATTATCAGTATTATTATTATTATTTATATTATTATTAATTATATCTTATTTTGTATTTAATTTTTTACGTCATGTGCTTTCAACGTTCCGAGTGTACTTGCCTGATTTTAAGTGCGTGCGTGCCTGTTTGCTCTTACTTTCATCTGTTTTTTTTCCTTACGTACCTATTGCACGTAATTTATGTAGTCAAAACGCTGTATATACATACAATATTTATTAGTGGCATGCGGTACGTAACCTTTGAAAGTTTTGCAAGTTGTGCGGAGTTCGTTCTATAAAAATGTTGTAAAGTTAGGGAATCAAAGAAAATAACCAAAAGCAACAACGACGACAGCAGCAACAACAACAGCAACGCTAACTTTAACATAAATTGCTATAACGTGTAGGACATTGAAAATGCATTCTTATTTTAATGAACTCGTGAAGTTTGTTTTCGTTTTGAACGGTTGCAAAGTTAAGTAAGTAAGTAACACTGCAGGCTGCTCGATTGAACGTTAATATATGCAAGCATGCATGCCTGTTAAAATTAAACTTCAACATTATAGACGCGTGTTCTACTGTATGTCTGCTTATCACTATTTTTCACCCTTCTCTCTCTCCCTCTCTCTCTCTCTCTCTCTCTCTCTTTCTCTCTCTCTTGCTGTTTTACTCTATAAATTATTTATGATGTCGTCTACTAGAAAGTAAGAACAACTTTACCTCACCCACCTACCTACATTGGTCCTCACATGTCGTCACGTCTGCTGCACCATTCACACACTTGTCATCACCATTGAAATTCTTCTTTAAATACCTAGTGGGAATAAATTAATAATTAATTTTAAAAATTAAAAAGACGAACGCACGGATGTTTAAAATTCCATTCAACCAGTTGAATGCATCAAAATATTTGCTCATGCAATCGATGAAGCACTGAAGAATTGATGGCTGGTAATGCCGCGAGAAATTATTTTTCTTGTGTTTACAACATTTTTTTAAAAATTCCGAATAAGCAAACACCTGTCTTGTACACATAAGCATAAATGCCTGATTGAATATCTACCTATTAGTATAATTTAAGTAGATTAAACAGTACACACGCGCATAAAGGAACTGTAGGTAGCTAGGTAGGTGTGTATATATGTATGTACGTGTCCATGTGTAGTGTGTGTGTGTGTATGTGCGCGCGCGTGTGTGTGTATGTGCGCGTGTGTGCGTGTGTGTGTATAGATAATAAAGGTGGGTGGGTTGGGTAGACACGACAAATGTAATAACAAATGCAACAGTCAAACGTTAATAGATAGGACGCATAATTGGTGTGCTTTCTCGAAAATTGTGATTGTGTGTTTATATGTCTGTATGTATGAATGCAGTAGTTGAGATTGCATGCTCCTTATCTCGAAAATGATATGATGTAAGAATCTTTGAAAAAAATTACAATAACTGAACCCATGCACTCAAAAGAACATGCCACATGTACGTACAATTTGACACGGATGGTCACAAGCAGGTGGTTTAAATCTTTGAATTAATTTTTTTTATTGCATAAACACTTCAGAAAAAGAAAATGAATTGCTGAGAAAATTATAAAAGTTCTTTAATTTTTTTATTTGAAACTTTTTTAACAAACTTAATAGCTAATAATAATTTGTCAATGTTTGATTTTTATTGTGATATGTCTGTCAAAAGACATACTGTGAGTTGCTAAGTGGCCGACGTCTAAGTCCTCTACTTTGAACGGTCACAGTGCAGTAAGTTGGGAGGTGGGGAATTAGTTGACAGCGAAACAAACTTAAATTTATTCAACAAATAAATGGTATATATACACACATTTCTTTAAAAAAAAATGAAAAAATACAAAGTTTTTATTATTCAAAACAATCGTGATAGCACCTAGTCATTTAGTTGATGAATTTTATTGAACTGACAATAATACATACCACACACATAAATACGAATGCACATAAAAACACATTTACAACAAACACATTCGCTCACATACACACATACATGCACACACACATACGTGCACACATGAATATACAAAATTTCTCAAACTAAAAAGCAGCCTTCGTTCTGTTTAGGAATTCCTCTATATCTGTCTTATCTCTAAACTAAGGTTCTGCTGTTGTTTTGCATTGTTCTATTTTTACAGGTAGGTACTAAAATAATATATTATAGATATCTGCAATAATAGGCAGACACACAAAGACGCGCGCGCGCGCACACACACACACACTGTTGTATAAAAGTATGTATGTATAAGTATATATACATGTTTCTAATTTTTATTGCTTATAACGAAAGTATAATTAAAACATATTCCCACCAAACATAATTATATACGTACTTAACTTGTGTTTTCTACTTTCCAGAACAATTTATTATTATTTAAATAATTATTAATTAATTATTTAAAAAAAATTATTTGCGCTCATTATCTCTAACTCGATGATATAAAAATCACCTACGTCCAATAAAAACAAATCGTTAAAAAAGTTTTTTGTCCAAATTCAGTCTTGCCACAACAACAACAACAACCAACAACCAACAACAACAAGACACTTTAAATTATGAAAGCTTTTCAACATTTTCTGTTCATACAAACATAAATACGCACTAACTTTTGGATTATTTGCTGTTTTATGAAATTGTTTCATCTGATATCATGTTTTTTGTTTTTTAATTAACAGACTGCGTGTCTGTTCGTGGAGTCTGGCTGACTTCTCAATCAAAAGCCATCATGTTACGATTTGCCGTACAAACTCACTTGCCCAAATTCGACACCGTCATTCAGAACGGAAACACTTGTGATAAACAACAACAACATCAACAACAACAACAACGACGACATGAACATCATCAATTACGGCAACGGCAACTTCAACAACAAAATTACAAATTGCATAATGATCATGATTACAACCAAAAACAACAAATTATAAACTCAAAATTTACAAACTGTATCGATGAGAACAACGAGAACAACAAAAACGTTGACAACAAGAAAGCCAAATACAACGCAGTAAGTGTGCCGGTGACAATCTCAGATAATCACAACGACAGCAAAACTAATAACCACAATGGACAGACATTGAACAAACTATCAGTTAATAACATCAACAATATTTCAAACAACAGAACAAAACCCAGCAACCATGAAGACAACATTGGTGCCATCACAGTTGCAACCGGCAATAAAAATAATAACTCCATCGTCTTGAATACCAACAACTCTTGCAACATAAATAACCACAAAAACCACGTTGATGACCTACACAAATCCGATGCTTTCGTGACCAACGACACTACCAACAACAACACTACCAACAACAACACTACCAACAACAGCAGCAGTAGCAGTATTAACAACACAAACAACAACAGTCCTACTAGCAAGAAGAGCGCCATCAAAAGATCAAAGTTCAAACGCAAGATAGCGTACAGCAGGGAGACCATCATCGAGCAACAGAAGCGTAGACAGGCGCTACAAAAGCGCAGCATGTCTATCGACGAGGGTGTCCAGGGTGATGTGAGCGATGACGTTGCGGCTGATGACTTTGTATCTGGCTTCCGCTGGAGTCTCAGGTCTGTCGACAGTTACGTTAACAACTTCAACAAAAAGAACAGCAACACCATTGGTAACAAGAGCATCTGCAACAACAACAACAACAACATCGGCAGCAACGCCACTAGTAGTTCGTCGTTGAACGATTTCGTTGACGACGACGGTGATGAGGATGATGATATCGACCTTGATGACGTTGACCTTGATCCGGAAAAACCCAGCAATGTGATAAACAACAACAAAAACGTAAACCCGAACAGCGTGAACAACAACAACGACGACGAGCAATGCAAATTGCCGGGAATATTTTCAGCCGAAAGAGAAGCACCACCATCCTCCACATCCATTTCAGCGCCTTCATCGAAGCTGCAGTTGTCGTCGCAACAGCGGGCAACATCTCTCACAATTGCAACCACGTCAACAAAAATTATGACAACAACAACATCAACAACTGCAACAACATCATCAACAACAACAACACCTGTGTTGAGTAAACCACCCTTATCTCCAACATCGTTATTCAATCATCAACATCACCTTCATCATCTTCATCATTATAATCATCCTTTAGGCAGACATAATGCTAAAATAACTGTCCCACCACCATCATCACCATTATCATCGCCATCTTCGTTTTTAACCGCTGTAACTAACTTATTCACCATTACGAAAACTCCATCTACATCATCATTATCATCAGTGACTTCAGTACAATCATCATCGTTATCGTCATCAACTCGCAAACAACTGCACAACATCACATTAACGAAACCGTCTAAAGGACCGAAAAAACTCGGTTTTACGATAGTCGGCGGTGTCGATTCCAACAAAGGTCCGGTTGGAATATTCGTAAAGACGGTTCACAGCGATGGCATTGCAGGAGCAACCGGGCAATTGGTCGAAGGTCAGTTACGGTTTTGTTATTTTTGCAGCAAATTTGTTCTTAAAATTTTTAAAAATACATCTTTTAGGTTTGCCACATAAATTAAAACTGAAACACTCGTGACAAGAGCGCTAAAAATATCACCGTTATAACAATTGCTGGCCTGCCAGCAATAAAATTAATATCTACAGCTAACATTAACAACATCATAACAAATAGCAATAATAACAAAATTGTTATAAATGAACATGGAACGCACGACTCAAAGTATTACAATTCATTTCAATTCAACACGTTCAATACTGTACAATACTAATCCTACCAGCAATCAACAGTAGTTCCATTGTTAAACTCGAAGCATTTTGATTGTTACACATTCATGCAAACATTCATGCAGAGGTAAACAAAGAGAAGCCTGTATGCAAGACACAAACTTTATACATACGGACAGACTTTATACGACATCGTGCACACACTCATGCACATACGTACACATACATGCATGCATACATGCATACATACAGACGTAGGCACACACAAACAGACACACATACATCACATGTGCGTTGCATAAAAAACATAAAATTTCATAAACCATGAACAACCCATTGCTAGCACATCAAAGGTATGGACTGAACTGAACACATGTGTTTGTTTGCTTATTTTGTCCTCTTTTCTCCTCTGGCAAACAATTCTTTAATTCGTCTGCACCGTTCAATGAACAAGCCACACAAACACGGCAATTTAACATTTGCATTTTTGCTGCACTTTGCATAATTATACAGAATATTTTTATTTTTTTATTTAAAAAATAAAATCAGACACTAAACAAAACATACCTACATCCAAATATCATGCAGGCATTTAAAGCAATGTTATATATCTACGTTCATACATCATATGTGCACAATTGTGAATCACCTTTTGAATATATTAAAATTTTCATGTAATTTTTTTTAATTCACAAAGAGTTAGTTGTGAAAATTATTTTTGATAAGTTTTTTTTAAAATGCTGTTTAAGTGTTCTGCACTGACTTCATTTTATAGTCGAGTTGGTTAACTTTTTTTTTGTTTAATTGAAGTCAACAATCAAAATTTGTTTGAAAACATGCGGAGGAATCTGCATGCATACACAAACATTCAAACAAAAAGCAGAAACATAAACGTACACATTCGACCATGTATGCAAACGCACACGTACACATACGCGCAAACAAACATACACACAAACATTGTTTAATCAAATCATCGTTGTCATTCATTTATTCTTTCAGCTCCTCTTCATTCATTCATGTGGCCGCATTAACGCTGACAGTTGACCTAATTAAGTTGCTTTTAATCTTCATTTAGGTGATTGATAAATCATACTTAATTGACAGTTGATGTGTCATTTAATCAAGCTATTTATGGCTCTTTGTCTTTTTACATCAAGCCGCTGAGAATTGTTGTTAAGATTGGAGAATTAATTAGAGTTGCCGACATTATGAATGCTGTTCATGGGGTCGTTGTTATGTTTCTGTAGTGGTTTAGTATTTTTTGTTGCTGTTTCAGTAAATTATGTACTATAATTATTTCTTGAATGACGTCACCGAGTGAATCTCAGTGAGATGTGATGAACATTTGTTACCACTCGCCATCGTCCTTATCGCCCAGCCCTGCCGTACCTTCACTAGGACCGACGTTATCACTTCTAGTCATCCATGTCCTCATCATATCATACTCATGTAATTATAATCATTTCATTATTATCATCATATAATCTTTACCAACCTTATCTTTAAAAATAATTTGATTGAAATAGCACAGCCGTTGCTAAATAAAACACTGTAAGAATAGCCATACATTAAAAATAAATGATGATACATACAAACGTGAACGCATACAAACAAACACACAAACATGAACGCAAACAAACAAACATACATACACGCAAACATAATAACATGCAAGCAAACATACAAAGATGCGCTTGAAAAAACATGAAGAAAGTTCTGAAACGAAAGCAAGCTCAACATGCGCAAACTCCACGTTAACAATGTTCTAACATCGTTTTTCTACGTTCACCTTTATCTTTATTGTATGTTTATATTTATTCTGAGTTGCATAGTAAATGCCCACACATACCGGCATACTTAAGATAACATGCACTCATCATTGTTTATCAGCGTTTATACAAACGAATGAACAAACGAACGTACGAACGTTGAGCACGTTCAAGTGAGCCTCGAAGTAGGTAGACTTCAATTTTCATTTCATTTCCATCATGTTGATTTGAACCCAACACTAACCAGGCGATGAAATACTTTCGGTGAACGGATCAGCCCTGACTAACGTAAGCCACAAGCAAGCTGTCGATCTGATCAAGAGTTCCTGGCGAGCTGGCCAGCATAAGAAGTTGGAGATGATGGTGATGAGGAGGAACCATTCCAACATCAACAGATCCAGGTGATTTGTGTGTGTGTGTGTGAACGTGTGTGTTCGTATGTGTGCGTGAGTGTACGTACGTGTGCGCGCGTGCATTGTGGCTGGTTGTGAAACTTGTGTAGTCATCAACATAGTCATTTTGGACGAGATGCATGTTAATAAATTAAATTTGTTCAAGTGCATATTAAAGTTGCTCATTGCCAACCAAGCACAATCACATGAAAATTTATGCAGACACACTCATAATGCAAAAAACACACAACCACACACATGTGCTTATGAAGAAAGTCACAGACAACAAACGTAATATTAGAGCCTGCACGCACAAATACAAACACACGATACAAACATGCACACGCAAACACGTTCGAGTGAACAAACTTTGACAATCGCCTATGCTGCTGCTGCTACTGCTGTGGCAGATGTTGTAGATGATCATGATGATAAGGATGAGAAGAAGAGGAGGAGGATGTTGATGATGATGACGACAATGAGGGTGATGACGATGACGTCATATGATAATACCGATGATTCAAATATGATGCGTTTAGGTAGATTTTAATTAACCGATCATTATATATTCGTTTCACTCGGATTGTGAGATGACGATGATGATGATGCAGCTGGCGATGATGATACTGATACAGCTGATAAGGATGATGATGATGATGCTGATGCAGCTGATGATGATGGTGATGATGATGATGATCATGTTGATATTACGGTAGTAATGCATATGTAGATGACGATGATGATAATTTAACATGATTGCTACTAATGAACATTAAAGGATGATTGGATGATGATATAATAAGGATTTCGTTCTACTTACTTAGTCATTAATTAACCAAATTGACTATAAATTAATTTAAATTCGATGAACAGAAATGATTCGCTGAGTGAAGATGTGTCATCATCATCATCATCTTCTTCATCGTCATCATCTGACAGACATTCATCTCAACATCAACAGCATGCTAACAAAATCAACGATCACATTGACACTTCTGACGACATTAATAACGAAAACAACAATAACAGCCAAAATAACATCAGCAACATTAACAGGATGAACATAAATGACTTGAACAACAACAACAGCAACTCTGACATTCTTTTTGAGAAAAACAACATAACCAACCAAAACCTAACAGAAAATAACAAACTTAATGTTGATAACATCCTCTGCAAAGTCGATGATAACCAAATAAAAATCAAAAAAGACACATCAGTCTTAGTTCATTCAGTAACTCTAAATAATGCAATTATACTTTCAAAAAATGTTGAAGTTTGCAACGACACCAACAACAACAACAAAAAAATTTTAAATCTCAACAGCCCGAACAATAACAACAACATTGGCAACACCAACATCGGCAACAACTTTCACAACATTTCAGAATTAACTGCAAGACTGCGAGAGCTTTCAACTAAACTGGCGATCGACACCAACGATAAAGGAAGCAACAGCAAAACTAAGAACAATTTAAAAATTTTAAACAACAACATTAATTTTTCCAGCAACAACAACAACAACCACTACAACAACAATAGCCTCACTACACACAACATTAATAACATCAACAACACTTCTCCGTCGTACTCCATCACCAAGTTAAATCTCAACAAAACTACAATATCATCTCCACCGATCAAAAAACCACCATCATTATCACTAAACTCTTCATCATCATCATCATTTTCATCTTCAACGTTCAAACATCATCTCAATGATGACGATGATGATGTTAAAACTGATGATAATACTGATAACAACCATGAAGATGATGATAATGACATCAAGAGGAATGACGACGATGATAACGATAATCGCGTCCAGACTAATTACGATAAGGATGATAAGGATGCTAATATTAACGATGATGATGTGGACAATTATGGTAATATTAATGATGATGGTGATGCTGATAAGAACGACGTGGAAGATAGTGATGATAAAAATGAAGTTTATCATTACGACCCATCACTACTTGATGCATTGAAACTGGAGGAGCTTTCCATAGTTGAATATTAAACTGAATTGTTTAGCATTGTTTAACTCTGCATTTGTTTATTCGTTCGTATTCACGTTTATTTATGTATTTTTGTTTAACTTTTGTTATTGCGTCAATAAACATTAACGGTTATTTTTTGTTTGTTCACTACGTATATTGTATATACGTATTATGTCATTGTACATAACTGTGATGATGTCATTGTACATAACTGTGATGATGTCATATCGTCATCGAATATTATTTAATTTATGTGTAGTTTTTGGTAACATCAGTACAAGTAAATGAAGAATCTAACTGGTTGGTACTTGAAGTTGTAATGCGTGAGGTATGTTTTTACTGTATATACTTACTGTACAACGTTATTGCACGCAAGCGTCGGATGCGTTATATACATTAAGTAAGTAATATACGTTATAAATGTTACTTATATGTATTATATATATATGTGCGTGTTTGTTTGTGTGTGTCCGTGTGTGCGTGCTTGTGTGCGTGTATGTGTGTGACCTGGAAATGATGGTCTACACTTCCATGGCGTGTTGATCAAAACGTGTTCATTGATACGAACACGTTTTGAACCATATTTATACATGTTTTATGTGTTATATTAATATAATACGTTTCAACTTGCTGTAGATATATTTGTTATACATGCTACATACATATTAATTGCAATATTTGCTCATTCTTCATTTTTTTAAGGTTATTTGTTTGTGTAATTTATTCCCAATCTATTTAAAAACTATTTGCTAATTTATTTATATATTCACTTTTGATGTTTAGTAATTCATCTAGAAAGTAGAAGAAATAGTTAATTTTCGTTAATTTATCTAAGCAATAAAATAAATAGTTTTATGCTTTTCTTTCCATCGCCATCCTGAAAAACTTTAATTAATTTTGCATTATTAATTGATTGATTGATTAGTTAATTAAATTATTTGATTTAATTTATTTATCAGCAGGTCATCATACAAGTAGAAACAAATATTTAATGATCGTACGCACGTATTTATAAATCAATTATAATGCTAGATCGATTTACAGCGTTTAGGTTTACAATATATCATCATTTTAATTCGTGTAACTACATGATATTAAGAATTGTATTTCTATTTTATTGATATTATGTGTAATTGCATGCGTGTGTGCGTGTGCGTGTGTGTGGTGTTAATACCATTGTAAAAATTGTACATTATAAAATACCGATATTAATTAATTAAATAATACCACAGAACATACCCTCAATGTATCGTTGAATGGAATTAAAAAGAAATCAATTTGAAAATTTTTATTTTCTTGAGTTGTTTTATTTATTTGAATATACAGTAAAATTATTTAGATGTGTGTTATAGTCGGGACCGGATTGATATGCAACAACAAAATATCGTATCTTAGATTAGGGATGGGCAAACTGCGGCCCGCAAAGCTATTTTATGCGGCCCAAGAAGCCTTTTTCGCCAAAGAAAGAAAAAAAGATCATCAGCCAGACATTTTGACCAGAAAAACCAGAAAAAAGAGCCACAAATTTTAAAAAATTCTTTCCCGGATCAAAAAAATTTGTCATTTAAGTACATATGCGGCTCTTCAAAGGTAAAATAGTTCTCATTGCGGCCCTCACGGCAAAAAGTTTACCCACCCCTTTCTTAAATTAATAAATTTTTTCTTGCATTTTTTAAGAACTTTGAAGACGTGTGTCTATCAATTTATTCAGATGCGGGCGACACTGAAACGAATTTAGACCGTCTCTAGATTACGAAATCTCAAATTTAGACAGTCTAGCTATATCACAAAATTAACACGATTGTATGTTTTGCAACTTTATTCAATAAAATGGAAGTAATCTACGCAGCGAAATTTTTTAATAACATTAACGTTGAAATCAATAATTAACCCATTTTATAAATGATGAAATTATACATCGAATCTTTGGAAAAGTAAAATAGATTTTAAAAAATCGTGAAATTGAGTATTAACTACAACGTTCAAATGAGTGAATGAATGAATAAATAAATGAATCAATAAATAAATTAAAAATAATCAGATAAATATACATGACCACATGTTTACATGACTAGCGAAGACACTCTGTTGACACAAAAAAATAGCTTAAACATTTAAACCCAAATGTTACCAAGAAAAGATTCGTAGAAATTAACAATTAGGTCTGCAGTTTGAAAGTGTTTCGATGCTTCAGATTGAAATAATTTTACAACTCAGTTAAGTTCCATCCATTACTAGCACACAAAAAAATTTTTTAAATAATTTCAATTTGTTCTATCAATAACTCAAGGATCATTCACAATCAACCCAAATATATAGCGAAACATGAAACCACAGTGAGATCAATAAAATATACTGGTGGGTGCTAACGAAATGTAGAGGAAAAAATTGTAGTAAATTGTCTATGTTTGTTCATTTGTTTATGTGAGAGTGTTTAGGTTTGTACGTTATTGTTTATTATTAACTTGGTTGTGTTAAACTTACTAGTGTGTAAGTTTAAGTTCTACATATGTGATGTACTTTTTTTATATGTACTCTGAAAATTATGCATATCCGTTTATGAAAATTTAACATGTGTGTGTGTGCGTGTGTGTGTACGTGTGTGTGTGGGTGCGTGCGCGCGCGCGTGTGTGTGTGGTGTCGGTACGTGTGAAAACTTCAGAAAGGTATTGCATGCATTGTGCTGCTGTACGTTGCGTGTTGGTGTCGCGTAAACTTGAGATGATCCTGATGAGATAAGGCGGTAAGAAGAAGCAGACTGATTGGGTATCGTAGCAGGTTCGAAAATAAATCATTGCATGTAATTATTTATTATATTTATAAATAATTAAAGAACATACATAAAGAAATAGAAAAAAAACAAATAAAAATATCTGTAAACGAATAAGTTGACGAAATTATTTTCAAATAATAACGAAATTGAAACGTCAATCGAAACGAAACATGTATACATCAAAGTACTATCAGCAACAGTAAAAAAATAATAACATCATTATTTTACTAATTTGATTATTTTATGAATAATAAATTATGAGTTATGAATGAATAATTAATAAGTTAATTAATTAATTATTTATTTATCTAATTAACTCATTAAATTTAGATCTAAATGTAAGAAATCCTTGAATGAGATATTACCCCATCATGTGAAACACTTCAGTTCAGCTTGTCATATAAACCGTCTTCAACCTCAATAGCTCAGATGAGCACTTAGTTAAAACTTGAAATTTCATTTAAACTTAAAACCAAAACATCAAAGGCAAGCAAACAAACAAACACTAAATACGTACACAGATATCTATAAAAAAATATATCGACATACAAGCTGAAAAAAAAACTTGCGTGTGTGTGTGTGTGTGTGTTTGTGTGTACGTGTGTGTGTGGGGTATGTGTGTAACGCATTATATTTTTCATTATAAAATACAAATCCATTACATATCTGATAATAATTGAATATGTAATCACTAAATGTGTGGCACTCCGATGATGGTTTTGTACTTTTAATTAAAATTTTTTCCATACTATCTAAATCTCTATTGCTATTTTTTTTTCTTCCGACAATAATTATAATAAAAAATATATCATCTATAAAAATAAAATAATAAAATAAATGAATATTTATAATGATAATAATAATAATGATAATAATAATAGTAATAAAGTATTGAACGTTGAAATTAAGCCACACAAGACGTCATTGTCTGAGTTGTTTATGGTAAACGAATAATGTCGAACTAATTTCAACTTTGATATTTGTTCAAGTATTCAAATGAAATTCAATAAAATGACGTCATAAATAAATAAATAATACTCATATTTTATCACTTCTCGTCAAATGCCACTTTGCTTTTTTAATTATCATCATCTAACATTTTCGTTATCACTTTTTTAAATCACATTATCATCAACTTGCTCTACTTGCCATCGTCATCACAACATCGATCATTTTTATCATCGTTGTCATCGTCATTGTTATCATCTTTAAAACTATCATCATTATCCCAATCACCATCTATTATTTCACCATCTTCACTCATATCACCACATTCTTCATCGCATCATCATCGTCGTCATCGTCAGCTTCATCATCATTGCCGTAACAGTTATATTCACTGTCATCACCAACATTTTCCCCATCCAATTACTGTCATCATCACATTCACCATTCTCGTCATTTTTCACCATTATCATCTTTTTCATCATCATTGTTTTCTCTCTATCATCATCTTCTTCATTTTTTCCTCCTCCTCCTTCTACTCATCTCCATCATCAGGCGTCTGGCGATGCAGATGACGTCGACGTTGGTTTCTGCTGCATGCCGAACCTCCTGTAAAAGCTCTGCACGTAAGTGAAGACGCACTTCCAGTCTGGAACCTTCATCATCACCATGTCATCTACTTCCAGCAAAGGAGCTATGTTGGCGCATTTTCTGAGGTTTTGTTTGGTAAGGATTTTTGTCGTTGGTGTTGTTGAATTTGTTGTTATTATTAATTATTTTTTGAGATGTTTTTGTTGTTGGTGAATTGCCATAAACGTTAAGGTCATGCTTGTCAAGGTCATTGTTGTTGGTGTGTGTTTGATGTGTTGTTGATGTTCGTTGAAACAACAACAACAACGACGACAACAACATAATGTTACTTCACTGTCCTTGAACTGATTCACAACACTTCTGAATTCAAAATTCTTCACTATAGCCCCCGTCATCAGTGTAGTAAATCAACATCATCATTCACGTGCTATCATCGTCGATACCATCATCACCATCATTATCATCCTCATTACATCATCATCATAATCATCAGCAGCAGCAGCATCGTCGTCGTCGACATCATCATCATCAGTAACATCATCGTCATCATCATTCCCACTAACTCGGCGACATCAAACGCCAGCGTGAAGTTGCCTCTTCTATTCTTGGGGTTCAACTTGCTGTAGTCGAAGGATTCTGGGTAGAAGTGGTGGATTAGGGCGCAGAAGGCCATGCCATCCGCCCAACTGCTCGAAAAGTTTGTGATGTTCACGTTCTGTTTGGAACGGCGATGGCAGAACTTTAATCATCATTAATCACTATTAACTTGTTTATTCATTTAAAAAATCAGAATCTGACAGACGCCGAATGTAATATTTGAATCGGGTATGAACTTTTATGTAACCCTGAACCACCGAGATATTTTTTATTTTGATGAGGATGACAGCGTTGAAATATGGTGAAATAATTTCATGTGCCATCCAATAAAATGTTAGATAAAAATAACATTTTATGATAAGAAGAAGGACAAACTGCAGAGAAATTTAAAACAAATATGGTTCAGCGATGTATTAAAAATACTTCCCAATGAAAATAAAAACTAAAGAACTGACCTCGTACTCCTTCGTCTGCATCTGACACCACTTGATCAGCATCTCCTTGATGGCACTTGGGTTCCTGGTCACCTGAGGTTTGCCCACTGAACTGCCACTGGTCGGACTGCAATGGTGGTGATAACATGATGATGATGATGATGATAATAATAATTTGATAATGACGATGATAATAATCACAAAAGTATGATAGTGATGGTTAATGGTAGTGATTTTGGCAAACGCGCAATGATGCAATAAGTTTTTAGAAAAAAAGCATTGATTTTTTAAGAATTATGATGATGACAACTATGATGATGACAACGATGATGATAATAGTGACGATGATGACGAGCATGATGACGTCACTTGTTTCCAGCTGCAGCGGCCATGTTCTGCATGACATCCCTGCCACCTGGCGACAGAAAACAATTAATTTTCATTTCAATCGATTATACTGTTTGGATTTTTAAAAACCATGGCGCTGATTTTTTAATATTATAAAAAAATTTTATGAAAAGAAGTATTCATTTTGAAAGTAATTTTAGAATAATTTTAGTCGGTTTCCTTATCATCATCATTATCTTTATTATCATCTGTATCATCATCGTCATCATCATCATTATCATCTTTGTTATCATCTATATCATCATCATCGTCGTCGTCATCATCATCAACAACAACAACAGCAAAAGCATTATTTTTATCATCCTCAGAATTATTTTTACTCTCATAAAAACTATTATCATTGCCATCATAATGATCATCATCGTCACAATTATCATCATCAACAACGTCATAGTCATCATCGTCGCCGTCACCATAGTACCCACCTGAATGTCTGTGTTTGTCAACAAGTTGTGACAGTCAATAAAGTTAATCAACACCATCTTTTCGTCATCTTCATTGTCCTTTACTTCATCATTGTCATCAACATTCCTTCCACCACAATCATCATCACCACCATCATCATCATCTTTGTCATCGCCATCATCATTGCCTTTGGAGTCAGTATCATAATCGCTACCGTATCACTGTACCGTGCTATTATAAATACTTGCTCGTACTAAACACAATTTTTAAAAAAGAGTATTCTGAATTGCTACTTATAATTACGATTAAGTATGCCTACAGTTTTATAGTTGCATTTATATTTGTACTATTTCCAGTTTGAAATAAGTATCTCATATTACAAGCACTGCTTAAATTTACAAATAAGTACAAATAATACAATTACTAGTTAGTACTACTCACAATTAGAAATAAAAGTATTTTTACATTAAAACTGCTGCAATATTACTTACCGGTGTTATAGATGGATGAGGAGGCTTTAGCATCTTCCTTCATCTTCTCCAGCTTCTTCTGCTTCTCCATGTCAGCCTGTTTGTGTTTTTCTCTCAGTGCGAGCTCGCCCGCTCCCATCTGATGATAATGATGATGGTACAATAGTGATGATGGTAAGATAATGGTGATGGTATGATGGTGATGATGGTACGATGGTGATGATGATGGTGGTAAGATGGTGGTGGTGATGATGATGGTACGGTAGTGGTGATGATGGCGGTGATGATGGTACGGTGGTGATGATGGTGATGAAGATGCGGTAATAGTGGTGATGAAGATGTGATGGTGGTGAAGTTATTATGACGATTACGATAATGACAGTAGAGCTAATATTTATCGCATCGTATGATGATGGCGATAATCTTAAACTGAAACCCGAGAAGGACATTGGAGATGGAGTATAATGTTGAATAACGCAACATGTAAATAAATATGACCACCATGCAAGGACATCCATCATTCAATGGCCGATGGATAAATTCGAAAGGACATTTGCCCTGGCAGAACGTCGAAATCATCCTTCATCCATCCATCCATCCATTCATCCATCCATCCATCCATCCATCCATCCATCCATTCATCCATCCATCCATCCATCCATCCATCCATCCTCGTCTTTTCTCACGAGTTTTATAATTAGATCGATAAAAAAAATTAATCTGCTAACTTATTATGAACTTGTGATCAAATTATGTCACTGGAGTTATCTTAAATTCATTCTATTAAATATTTCTATGTAATTTTTGAATAAACAGATATTATTTGTACGTGTGTAAAAAAATCTCATAAATCATAAATTACTACACACGCGCGCGCACAAACAAACAAACATAAACACACACACACGCACAAGAAGAAACACGTGAGTCAGGAGTTGAAAGCAATGTGTGAGCACTCGAGTTACATGCTAAAAAAGTTTATTATGGTTGGGTGAAGTTTTACTAACGATGAAAGTGAAAATATATAACTCTCGTATTACAAAAACGAAAGCAAAAATGTTTATATGGTGTTTAAGTTATCAACAACGTGACGTCAGTATCGACGTCATCATCATTCCAGGGACCTTATTACGTCACTGTACATTGTTCAATATTATTACATCATACGACACTAGCTATATTTCTGTTTCAACATTAAATATTGTCAAGAATTAGTACCATTATTCAGAATGCGCTTATTAAATCGTCCTTATCATCACTATCGTTTTCATCCCCGCCATCATCATTATCTTTGTCATCCCCAACATCATCATCACCATTCTCTTCCTCATCGCCATCCCAATCATCTTCATCATCGTCTGCAGCATCATCACCATCATCTTCATCATCACCGTCTTCATCATCACCGTCTTCATCATCACCGTCATCATCATCATCACCGTCACCATCATCTTCATCATCGCCAGCCTCAGAAACCTTCTTGTTAGCCTGTTCAGCGGCTTCATCTTTGAACTTCTGCAGCTTCTTCTGCTTCTCCTCCTCGGCCAACCTTAGCCTCGCCTTCACTGGGTCCTCTCGTGGCGGTTCCTCCTTCTTCTTTGCCTCTCTTTCAGCTGTTTTAAGGTGTGTGTGTATTTGTTTGTTAATTTGTTTGCTTGTTTTTTGTTTGTTTGTTCGTTCGTTCGTTTGTTTCCTTGTTTGTTTTGTTTTATATTCAAGTATATTTTTAATTGAAATATTTTGTGAAAGTAAAATGATACAAGTTACGATAATTAACTGAGTATCTGGCGGAAAGTAGTCAATATATTCACTTACGGACGAAACCAGCCAAAATTTCTATCTGGCTAACAAATTCAACACCAAATTTTGCGTAATCAGCAGATCTTAGGCAACAACAACAATAACGTGAACCACCAACAACAACAACAACATGAAACAACAACAACAACATGAAACAACAACAACATGAAACTCCGAAGTTAGAAAAGTTATTTAATGCAATCTTAAGACACCTGATTGCCTAACCTCATTCGCGTTACTAATCCCTCTCAGTTGCATCAATAAAAGAATACATTTGCAGCTGTAATAATTTGTTATTCATAATTTCTCATTTATTTTGCTATGTTAGATTGCGCTTGGTTTGTTTACTTATTTAATACATAAAATACTTACCAACACAGCAGAGTCTGTCTCGATAACTAAGGTCATAAAAGAAATATAAAACAAAACGTTTAGATAAAAATAAGAGCGGAAAAGAATTGAAAATCAAAAATCAAAAATGAAATACATTCCAATAAAATGTATAAGCAAACAATGTTTATAAAGATAAGTGATGATGATGTATGTACGTGCAAATGCACAGTGTAGGAATGGGACGGCAGACTGATTGATAGCGACTGAAATTGCATTAACAACAACGACCGGGCGATTGCGTTGTTGTGTTACTTACTCATGCCTTGTATGTCGTTGTTTTCGTTGCATTTGTTGTTGTTGTCGTAGTTGTTGTGCTACGTTATGTTATGTTGAATTTTGTAACTGTTGTTACATGTTGTACATCTACATACATTTGTACATTTTGACGCTGTGCAAAAAACATGTGCACGTTTCTTGCGACCGTTAAAATTTTTTTATCGATCTGACATCATTTTTATTGCGGAAATTAAGCGTAAGCACTTGGTGTGTACATTAAATATTGCGTTGTTTTTGCGCATGTGCTTGTTCTTTTGCGTATGTTTGTCCTTGCGTTCATGTTTGTCCTCGCTTTCATGATTTTTTTGTTTGTGTTTATGCTGCACACTTTTGTTACCTTCGTTAGTTTAGTATATTTAGGAAAAAACAAGAAATTGAACATGAAATTATGTTCAGTTATAAATTTTATTTGTACGCTTGCAATTCTTAAAATATAATGAATACGTTTCAGCTGAATGTTTTTTATATTACTATCTAGCTATAAAAAAACCTCTTTTATCCGAAATTTTAAAAATTAATCGGCATAAAATTATGAAACCAATTTCAAGAAGAATGATGCGCATACAAAAACACGTTGGTTAATTTTCATGGCACAAGGTTGTTCGCAAAATAAAAACAATCAAAAACAACTTTACGTTAATTAATTTTCCAGTTACTAATAAAAATAATAATTGGATTCATATTAATAACCTTCATCCATACTTCTCACTCACTCACTTCCACTCCATCCGCCACTCATTCCCTTTAACACGTTTGTTGTTTTGCTTCAGTTACTAAATTTAGATCGAGGCAACCGAAGGCAAAAGCGAGCATACGCAAGCATACACGAGCAAACGCAAATATACAATTAATGAAACACAAACGTACGCACACGTCATGCAGAAACACACACACAAACACACACACACACATACATACAGACTCATACATATACACATATAACTAGATAAATCAGATAATATGAAAGCTCAGGAAGAACCCTCTTTAAAAATTTACATACATACAGGTATGCATACGCTGCAATTCTATCTATAATGCTACAATATGTGTGTGTGAGTGTATGTATGTGTGTGTATGTATGTGTGTGTTTATGTATATATATATATATATATATACATATATATATATATATATATGTGTGAGTGCGTGTGCGTTCGTTTGTCATTATGATAATTGATTAGGCTGGTCATAATTAATTTTCGCAAAACCGTTAAAATATTTTCACTACTTATTTTTTTCTCGTAATATTTCCATCACGTTCGTCGTTCGTTCGTTCTTTCACCTACCCAAAATTGCTAGTTAAGCAGCAACTGAAGCAATTGTGCTTGGCTTATATACATACATACATACATACATACATACATACATACACACGCGCGCGCGCGCACGCACGCGCACGCACACAGACAGATATATATATATATATATATATATATATATATATATGTGTGTGTGTGTGTGTGTGTGTGTGTGTGTGTGTGTGTGTGTGTGTGTGTGTGTGTGTGTGTTGGTAATAGACCATAATTTTTACAATATTCTATAAATTCTACCGAATGTTTGGCGTTAATATGTTTGTAGTTCGTTTTTTCGATTTTTCTCACTAAAGTTTTTTGTTGAACGTTTAGTTTATTAAAATTCAAAATAAACATATTTTTCGAATTCATGTTGCAAATAAGCAGCAAGCAGCTCATCCGGAAAAACTATTTTTGTTTTTTTTTCCTGTCTATTTATAGCTCTGTTGAAATTAGATCATGAATATTTATGCGGCCTACTAGGACCATTTGGTCTCGGTGTGCTGCCGATTTGCTTTTGCAACATTAATCAACACTCAGTCCCTTTCCGCAGGTTTATTTGCCTACACACGCACGCACATACACTTACAAATTAATTGAACGTAAATTATGTTTATGCGTGTACGTGTGTGTGTGTTATATGTGTGTGTGTACTTGTTTGTGCGTGTGTATAGGTGCGCTATATGTGTGTACTTGTTAGTGTGTGTGGGTTATATGCGTGTGTACTTGTTTGTGTGTGTGTGTTATATGTGTGTGAGCGTGTAAGTGTGTCTTCAGGAATATACTCTATGGGTATGTTTGTAAGCACATGTGTGCAAATGATAATTGACGTCTGAATGTTTGAGGACAACACTCAACTTTCAAAACGACTCACCCACCTTGTTTTTTCTCTCTAAGTACTTTTTGCCTTTTTCTGATTTTCAGTTTCAGGTTTAAATCTTCTGTCTTCTTGCACTGTTACGTGTTGTGTGTTTTACGTACAAGTTTATATGTGTATGTGATTTCGTCGGTGCATTCATTCATTTGCAACTGTATTTTGCGCACACATTGTATCGCTATTATATACATGACAGAATGTTGCAGTGTTACTAAATTCTATTTGTAGAATTTTGTAGTTGTGTGAATATTTTTAAAATATGCAAATTAAGCTGTAATGAAAATGTATTTTGTACAATCATCTTTCTAATACTTATGACGTGTGTGTATTTCAATGTGCGTGTGTAAATGTATATGTGCGTGTGTGTGCGTGTGTGTGTGTGAGTGAGTGAGTGAGTGTGTGTTCGCGTGCGTATAAATACGTGTGTAGAGATTATTTTTCATCTGCATTTGTCCGAGTATTTATTTCATGTAATCCTCACCACGTGTGCTAATGTCTGTCAGCGTTCATTTGAGCACTTCTGTTTCCCGGTGATGCTTTGTTTTTGGTATTATAAGTAAGCAAGTGTTTGTCAACGCGTGTTTTTAATATGACGGGAAGTAATTTTACTCAATTTAAATTTATAACATAACGTTGTCTAAAAATGATATCACAACAGTATCATTTCCATTATTATCATCACAATCGTCGTCATAATTTTTATCATCATCTTTATCATCTTCATCATGGATGATGTCATCATATTAATTATAATAATGATGATGATTAGTGACAACAATAATATTATAACTAGACTATGAACATGAAAAAAATGACAAAATTATCTAACCAACTCCTCTAACACATTATCGTCCTCAATTGTATCAATATCTGGAGATGATGACATGTTGATGTTGTTGATATTGTTGTTGCTAACGTTGTTGATGCTATTAGATTCTCGTTGTTGTGGTTGTCTTTGTTGCTGCTGCTGTAAAGTTGACAATTAATGTTGCAAGTTGTGAATAACATAATACAATAATGTAATATAATAATTTATTTAAAACAATTAAAATTAAACAAATGAAATGTTTTGAGCACTTGTTTTTTATTATCAATTAATTATTTTTTCATTAATTACTTTTTATTTAGTTGCTTGGTTTTTGAAAAACATGGAAAATTTTAGATAATTTAAGAAAATACATTTACCTACTTACTAGCACATAAATAAAATATGTTGCAGCAGCTTACATATCAAACCGAAAGCAATACATTTTTCTTTAAATATTTTAAAATTAATATATTCAATTAATTAATTTAACAAAACAAACTCATCGGAGTTTTCATTTCCTGTTAAATAATGTATATATAATAGATAAATAATATGAACGATCTTTCCATCTTTTCATCCATCCATCTTTTCATCCATCCATCCATCCTTTCATCCATCTTTTCATCCATCCATCTTTTCATCCATCCATCTTTTCATCCATCCATCTTTTCATCCATCCATCTTTTCATCCATCTATCCATCCATCTTTTCATCCATCTTTTCATCCATCTATTCATCCATCCATCCATCCATCCATCCATCCATCCATCCATCCATCCATCCATCCATCCATCCATCCATCCATCCATCCATCCATCCATCCATCCATCCATCCATCCATCCATCCATCCATCCATCCATCCATCCATCCATCCATCCATCCATCCATCCATCCATCCATCCATACATCCATTCATACATCCATCCATCAACATTTCTCTGCATCCACGTAATCATTTTATATTCCAACATTTAGTTCAACAGCAGTTTGCGTACCACACGTTATATATATATATATATATATATATATATATATACATATATTTATATATACTACATATATGTATATATGTAATATATGTATATAACATTTAGACGAATTCTTCATTAAGATGGAATTCGAGGCATCAATGCCCTCGGATAGGCCGGCAGCTGATGGGATGAATGTGATGATGATACAATGTGATGATGAGACAATGTGATAATGATGATACAATGTGATGATGATACAATGTGATGATGAGACAATGTGATGATGATACAATGTGATGATGGTACAATGTGATGATGAGACAATGTGATGATGATACAATGTGATGATGATACAATGTGATGAATGTGATGATGATACAATGTGATGATGATACAATGTGATATTGATGATACAATGTGATGATATAATGTTATGATGATACAATGTGATGATGTTATGATGTTATGATCGCAATCTTTGAAAATTCTCATTTTTGAGATAAAACAAACATGAACTTACTTAAAATATAATAAAAATAAAAAGCAATAATATTCATTTGATTCATCTTTTTACTGGCTAACTTCAATTCGTTGGTTGACGCAAAATATATCGATTATTATGGAATAAAGAAATTGAAAAATGAGTTTTTATATCAATGAATGAATAGGTGTGTGGTGTGATTGAGTGAGTAAATAAATTAATAAATAATTGAATGAATAAATGGATGAGTAATCGAATGAAGATTGATCGATTAACCTAACTAACAAACTGCAAAACAATCACTCACTTGTTTAAATTATCTAAAAAATCCAGCACGATCACAGAAGCAAGCGATAAAACTTCAAACTTTATAAAAGGTTATCCAGGACAATCAATTTTACAATTTGTTGTTAGCTTTATTCCTTAAAAAAAACTTAAAGTTAAGGTTCAGTCGTTATAAGTCATATATGTTTGAATCTCTCTATCTATGGATGTTTGTAAATGTATGCCTCTATAACAAGCATTCGATTCAACCCACCAACTTCGAACGCTTCAAACAATCTGCTTTTAAGCGATTGCATCCATTGGATTACAACCTTTTAAATATGCAATGTACGCATGGGCTGAACGCATGGATATATATATATATATATATATATATATATATATATATAT